ACCAATACACAACGACCCTCTGGATGTAACCAATACACAACGACCGTCTGGATGTAACCAATACACAACGACCGTCTGGATGTAACCAATACACAACGACCGTCTGGATGTAACCAATACACAACGACCGGCAGCAGTAGAACAGTCGGCGTTAAGGGGTTAACCTTTTCAAAGGTACCGAACCCCAGCTGTTTCATATGCCCATTCAACAAACCCATTATTAATTAGGAAATTAAAGAATTATTTTTAAAAAGTACTTGCGCATTAGATACGTTTTACTAGTGCACAAAATGAACCCTGCATCAAAATCACCGAGTTCAAAGAAAAAAAAAACATTCTAATAGAATTTTCACAAGTAAACATATTAATGAAAATGTACTACAAATCTAAATCAGCATAGACTTCTCAGTGGCGTAGCTAGAATTTTCGGGCCCCTATGCAAAAATTATTACTGGGCCCTACGTCAATCTGTAAATTGTGTATTTTATACATGTATAGTTGTGTATTTATACATTCATAGTTGGGTATTTATACGGTATTATTATATAGTACCCCGTAATGTAAAATACATTTGATTTTATATCACTTTTATGTTAAAACAATTGTAACCCTGTAACATTTAAGCAGAGGCGTAGCGAGGGGGGGGGGCGGGGGGGAAGGGACATATGTTCCCGGGCGCCGACCTTAGGGGGCGCCAAAATGGGTTGGAAAAACAAATTGAAAGTTTGAGGGGGGGGGGGTGCAAATCGAAAGTTTGAAGGGGGTGCAAATCGAAAGTAGGGTGCGATTTGGATGCGAACAAAAATTTCAGTTTCGGCCCCCAAAGGCTCACATGGGCCGCTGAGGGAAATGTAATACATTTTTTTTATAATAATCAGAAAAATTTACAAAGGTTATATTATTAACTGGGATGTTTCCTTTTGTCCGTAAAAAATTCCAAACAGTTTCTTAACTTTGCGAATTATGCAATTAGCATCTATTTTTAGACGATCCAATCAGAAATTGATATCGAGCATTTAATAATAGACCGTTAGTAACGCTAACACATTGCATCAATCACACTGATGTTTAAAACACGTCAAATAATTTTTTTACGTGTTAAAGAAAAAAATCCTGTTGATTTGTGTCACTTTAGCGAATGACGCAATCAGCATCATTGATAATAGGATGCTGTTTGGCACCCGCCCTCCCCTAGCTACGCCTCTTGACGGCAAATACAAGTTTATACTCAGGTACCAGGATCATTTAACCAAGTTCATATTATTGCGAGCTTTGAAAACCAAAAGAGCAGAAGAAATTGCTTACCAGCTGCTGGATATCTTCACGACTATTGGTGCCCCAAGTGTGCTTCAATCAGATAATGGAAGAGAATTTGTGAATCAAGTTATTTCTGAACTAAAGAACATGTGGCCTGAACTTCTAGTTCACGGAAAACCAAAGCCAAGGTTCAGCCGAACGTGCCAACCAAGATGTTCAAAACATGATAATGACAAGGATGCAAACAAATGAATCAGCTCATTGGGCTGAGAGTCTCAAATTCATTTAATTTATGAAAAATCGTTCTTTTCATCAAGGAATCCAACAATCGCCATACGAAGCCTTGTTAGGATATGCAAAGCAAAAGTGGGACTTAACACTTCAAATCTACCAAGAGAGGCTCTCGATAAAATAGTTACTGAGGAAGATCTTGAGAGCATTGAACAAGAAATGGAGGTTGCCATAAATGCAACGACATCCTCAGCTAACACATCTGCTGCCGTGGCGGAACGTCCAGACCAGTTGCGTGACAATAATGTGGCCAACAGATTCTGTATAGTTTGTGAAAAACATTGTAGTGCAGCCCATTCTTGTCGATCCTGTGGCAACGATGTCCATGCTATTTGTGGAATACCCAATGAAGCAGACGAAGGGTACGGAGGGAACATTATCTGCAGATTGTGTCACAACAAACAAGACATCATGGAACACAGGTCAGCAGCTCATACTGTCTTGCAAACTCAAGGTGCTAAGATGCTTAAAACATCAAATACAAAATTTAAAGATGGTGAAGTGGGTGACAATGTACGCATCCGTGTTCCAGATGTTGACAGAGGTCGCGGTGATCCCCGAAGCGTGATTGCAGTTGTCATGAGCGTTTCTACAAATTAGGAACGGAACATGGTGTTCTAAAACAACTGTATGCTAGAAGTGAGTTTTCAATTCTTAACGAAAAACTGCTCTTATTGTCGTCAGTTTGCACTGAGGAAAAATCACTACGAACCATCGCATCTTCACAATCATTGACTGGGGGGCCAAGGCTACACTCGCTGCAATTGCACAACTAAGTGCACAACAAATCGCTGCAAGTGTAAAAATAACAAACTGCTATGTAATTCTAAATGCCATAAAAGTTCAACTTGTTGTAACAAATGATAATACTGATTGATTGAGACTATAGTACAATAAAAAATGTGAATGTTTCTGTCATTTACTTTAATTAATAATCAATAAAGACTTAATTTCATGATCCTTACGGCATAAAAGAAACACCAAAATCTGCTCATGATTTTCTAATTCGGACTTTGGCCTGTCGTCCCTAGCCAGATGATCTTCTAATTAAGACTTTGGCCGGTCCACCATGGCCAGTCCGCGGACTGGCCGGCCAAAGGCCGAAATCAAGCAAAGTTTCGGACTTTGACCGACCTATGGGAGGCGATATTGGCCAATGCGAGCATTGGCCGGCCAATCCGCGCATTGGCCGACTTCGGGCTTTGACCGTAACATATATATATAGATATTCTTCACAGCACTTTTATAGCACTACTTGATCAACACGCGCCTGTATACGTGACGTTGATACAATTCGTGACGTATGTGTGTCATAACGTCAAGGGTTCGACGATATGGGAATATCAAGATACTGATACTTGTTATTTCACTCTGGTGCTTATGTCGTGTTGGTGCATATGTCGCGCTGGTCCATATGTCGCGCTGGTGCATATGTCGTGTTGGTCCATATGTCGTGTTGGTCCATATGTCTTGTTGGTCCATATGTCGCGCTGGTACATATGTCGCGCTGGTCCATATGTCGCGCTGGTGCATATGTCGTGTTGGTCCATATGTCTTGTTGGTCCATATGTCGCGCTGGTACATATGTCGTGTTGGTCCATATGTCGCGCTGGTCCATATGTCGCGCTGGTGCATATGTCGTTTTGGTCCATATGTCGTGTTGGTCCATATGTCTTGTTGGTCCATATGTCGCGCTGGTACATATGTCGCGCTGGTCCATATGTCGCGCTGGTGCATATGTCGTGTTGGTCCATATGTCGCGCTGGTCCATATGTCGCGCTGGTGCATATGTCGTTTTGGTCCATATGTCGTGTTGGTCCATATGTCGCTCTGGTGCATATGTCGTGTTGGTCCATATGTCGTGTTGGTCCATATGTCGCGCTGGTACATATGTCGCGCTGGTCCATATGTCGCGCTGGTACATATGTCGTGTTGGTCCATATGTCGCGCTGGTGCATATGTCGCGCTGGTGCATATGTCGCGCTGGTGCATATGTCGTGTTGGTCCATATGTCGCGCTGGTGCATATGTCGCGCTGGTGCATATGTCGCGCTGGTGCATATGTCGTGTTGGTCCATATGTCGCGCTGGTCCATATGTCGTGTTGGTCCATATGTCGCTCTGGTCCATATGTCGCGCTGGTGCATATGTCGTTTTGGTCCATATGTCGTGTTGGTCCATATGTCGTGTTGGTCCATATGTCTTGTTGGTCCATATGTCGCGCTGTCGTTATTTGAACTGTTATCGGCTGCGACCGCTTGTTCTATCGTCCACACTGACAAAATCCGATCGCTGAACAGACGATGTGTCTCGGCCCGAACCCATGAGATGGACACATCCAACCCGTGTTCGTTCGAATCCAGGTGGAGAAACACGATTTAAAATAAATCGTGTCTAATTCACTTCTATTAAAGCAGCTGTAAATAGAATAAGTCATCTTTACAGCTCAATGTTTTCTATTCTATAAATAACACTTGAACAATAAGACTATTGATTACATTTGGTAACAGGACTTTTGTCTTATTCTAGCACACTTTGAAGAAACTAAAATTCAATTCTTTTTATTCCTGTTATTTCGAATTATAAATAGTAAATGTTCTTTTTCCTTTATCATTAGCCCGTGTGACCTTTTTTGCAAGCTAGTGAATTCAATAAACACATAATCCGCAGGGTTTGTTTCAGACATTTTTCTCCAAACTTCCGGGGGGGGGGGGGGGGGGATTCTGCCGGCATCATTTCCAGTCGGCCTTGGAAATTTCTATATTTAATTCTCTACGTGAGGACCATGCGAGACAACAACACGTAAGGGCTTAGCCGTTCCTACCCCGCTCTCTAGGCATATCGCTACCACCCCCACCAGTCTGGTGAGCTGTGGTTCACCCCAAATGTTTACAATCGTAGAGCCGGGTCGAATTAGTGACGGCTATTAGGGGCAGATAATTTACTTTTTAAACGATTTGAAACTTAGGTGAGGTAACTAAGAGGAGAATTCTTTCACGGGGAGGGGGGAAGGGAGGATGGGGGATGTTTATCGTCCTGTCCGGCTAGTAGATATAAGAAAGATTTACCAAGAAGGAATACGACACAATTCGGACAAGACAAATAATATGAGATAATAATTGTTGGTTTCATAGTTAAAACAATATTATAATCGACCCGCAAGTTTACTAAATACGCCTGAACATGTTCACCTCCTTCCCCCTCTGTTTAGATCTAATATCTTAGGCTTAGGTGAACCCTCAGTCGGCCATGTAAGGAAATCAACTACACACTAACACTGGCTTAACCTGTCGCTCAATAGTACACACTTCTCAGTTAATCACCACAAGACCGCTGTGTCAGAAACCAGAATTTGGTATCTAAACATTGAGCGTGTTGGATGCAGTGTATGGTGTAGCCAATCGTGGAGTACGAACAATAATTTGGTCACTTTACGCTAGCAGAAACGACTCACCTCATACAGACATATCCACGTCACTCGTCTGACAAACACATAGCATGCACGTGGCACGAGCTTTATGTTTACTATAAGCCTCTCATTTTTTCGCTCACAACCAATCAGATCCATGATGTAGTGAACGTTTTTCCGCTCTCAACCAATCACTGAATCAGATCCATGGTGTAGTGAACTTGATCAATGTCTCGCCTCCACATCTGCGCTTCTAGCTAATCACTGTACTAGTCGTATTTTTAGGCAGAGACCCATTGTATGAGTACTGTAGGCCCACTGTATGTGTACTGTAGGCCAACTTGTGACGTCACTAGCCATTAGTGTAGGCCAACTTGAGACGTCAAAAACCGTTAGTATTGGCCAACTTATCTAGGCGCAATCTATTTAGTAAGGTCGAAGTTGCTTTCTACTGTCAGAGAAGTCAGGGTTGTCTTTTCCTATCATTCTTAGACCCCCCCCCCCCCCCCCCCCCCCGAGCTTGCCTCACCATAGACAAAATGTTTTCATTTTCATGTTATGATTTAGATTCGTTTCCTGGCTCAAGGGAAGTAGAAAGGAAGACATCAATATAAAGGGAAGGAGAAAGGAAGAAATCAATCAAGGGAAGGAGAAAGTAAGAAATCAATGAAGGGAAGTAGAAAGGAAGAAATCAATGAAGGGAAGTAGAAAGGAAGAAATCAATGCAGGGAAGTAGAAAGGAAGAAATCAATCAAGGGAAGGAGAAAGTAAGAAATCAATGAAGGGAAGTAGAAAGGAAGAAATCAATGAAGGGAAGGAGAAAGGAAGAAATCAATGCAGGGAAGTAGAAAGGAAGAAATCAATGAAGGGAAGTAGAAAGGAAGAAATCAATCAAGGGAAGGAGAAAGTAAGAAATCAATCAAGGGAAGTAGAAAGGAAGAAATCAATGAAGGGAAGTAGAAAGGAAGAAATCATTGAAGGGAAGGAGAAAGGAAGAAATCAATGCAGGGAAGTAGAAAGGAAGAAATCAATGCAGGGAAGTAGAAAGGAAGAAATCAATGCAGCGAAGTAGAAAGTAAGAAATCAATCAAGGGAAGGAGAAAGTAAGAAATCAATGCAGGGAAGTAGAAAGGAAGAAATCAATGAAGGGAAGTAGAAAGGAAGAAATCAATCAAGGGAAGGAGAAAGTAAGAAATCAATGCAGGGAAGTAGAAAGGAAGAAATCAATGAAGGGAAGTAGGTAGAAAGGAAGATATCAATGCAGGGAAGTAGGTAGAAAGGAAGAAATCAATGCAGGGAAGTAGAAAGGAAGAAATCATTGAAGGGAAGTAGAAAGGATAGAAAGGAATAAATCATTGCAGGGAAGTAGGAAGAAAGAAATCAATGCAGGGAAGTAGAAAGAAAGAAATCAATGCAGGGAAGTAAGTAGAAAGGAAGAAATCAATGCAGCGAAGTAGGTAGAAAGAAAGAAATCAATGCAGGGAAGTAGAAAGGAAGAAATCAATGCAGGGAAGTAGAAAGGAAGAAATCAATCAAGGGAAGGAGAAAGTAAGAAATCAATGCAGGGAAGTAGAAAGGAAGAAATCAATGAAGGGAAGTAGAAAGGAAGAAATCAATCAAGGGAAGTATAAATAAAGGAAGAAATCAATGCAGGGAAGTAGAAAGGAAGAAATCAATGATAGAAAGGAAGAAATCAATCAAGGGAAGTATAAAGAAAGGAAGAAATCAATGCAGGGAAGTAGAAAGGAAGAAATCAATGATAGAAAGGAAGAAATCAATCAAGGGAAGTATAAAGAAAGGAAGAAATCAATGCAGGGAAGTAGGTAGAAAGGAAGATATCAATGCAGGGAAGTAGAAAGAAAGAAATCAATGCAGGGAAGTAGAAAGGAAGAAATCAATGCAGCGAAGTAGGTAGAAAGAAAGAAATCAATGATAGAAAGGAAGAAATCAATCCAGGGAAGTAGAAAGAAAGAAATCAATGCAGGGAAGTAGGTAGAAAGAAAGAAATCAATGCAGGGAAGTAGAAAGAAAGAAATCAATGAAGCGAAGGAGAAAGGAAGAATTGAATGAAGGGAAAAGAAAAAAATAATTGAATTGAAGGAAAAAGCTACATTACTTAGCCTATCAATTTAAAATAGTGTCACTATCTTAGAAAGAAGGGGGGGTAGGAGATTCTTCTCTCAGTCAATAAATCAGAAAAAAATTATAATAATAAAATTTTATTTCAACATTTCTAATATGACAAATTTTAATTATTTACAAAAACAACCTAGTAGACAGAAAAGTTTAAAAAAAACATTGCACACATCTGTAAACTCTAAATAAAACATTTCACACTAAATATGATAATATGTCAGTCATTTGTCAACTCAAGTAAAAAACTTTTGTGGTTAAAGTTAGCTTTCATAAATAAATAAGCACATGACCACTATCAGCAGTTTGTATTCAATAGCACCAGAACAAAAGCCCATTCAATTGTTTATATAGTATCAAAGATTTTAGAAGGAAAGAAAGGGTTTTAACCCATGTGAGATTGAGAGGTTTTAACCAATGTGAGATAGAGAGGTTTTAACCAATGTTAAAAGCTTGTCAAATGACATTTTTAAGACATTCCCACCTCTGTGGATTAACTGCACACCTCAGCATGTATTGTTCTATACAAACTTGACTAGTAGCATTCCATAATTGCCCCATGTCAGTTTAATAAGCTTTTAAAACCAGTGTTTGTGCAAAAATCAATCTTAATAATAATCACAAAGTTTATATAAAAATTAAGCATGTTGGCAACTGGATTTAGATTAATTCAATACAAAAAAAATAATTATAATTAAATTTTACATGGGAGTAATAATTCAGTATCACGTTTCATTTGAATGTATCACACAAATGTCTACCCCTATCTTAAACATTTGAATGTATCACACAAATGTCTACCCCTATCTTAAACATTTAAATGTATCACAAAAATGTCTACCCCTATCTTAACATTTGAATGTATCACACAAATGTCTACCCCTATCTTAACATTTGAATGTATCACACAATTGTCTACCCCTATCTTAAACATTTAAATGTATCACACAATTGTCTACCCCTATCTTAAACTAAATAATGGTGATAAAACCAAGTCACTAGATTCCAACAAAAGGCATACAGATCAGGGGTCTCCAGCCATCTCATCTTTCTTTTCTTTCTTTTTATCTGTAAGAAAGTACAGCAAATATAAACAAAATTTTTATCTGTTAGAAAGTAAAGCAAATATAAACAAAATTTTTATCTGTTAGAAAGTACAGCAAATGTAAACACAATTTTTATCTGTTAGAAAGTACAGCAAATATAAACACAATTTTTATCTGTTAGAAAGTACAGCAAATATAAACAAAAGTTTTATCTGTTAGAAAGTACAGCAAATGTAAACACAATTTTTATCTGTTAGAAAGTACAGCAAATGTAAACACAATTTTTATCTGTTAGAAAGTACAGCAAATATAAACACAATTTTTATCTGTTAGAAAGTACAGCAAATATAAACAAAATTTTTATCTGTAAGAAAGTACAGCAAATATAAACAAAATTTTTATTTGTTAGAAAGTACAGCAAATGTAAACACAATTTTTATCTGTTAGAAAGTACAGCAAATATAAACACAATTTTTATCTGTTAGAAAGTACAGCAAATATAAACATCACCTCACTTTATAAACTAAAGCTGTATCCATTTATACTACATTGAGCAGAGCTATATGTTCAAATTGAAATATTAGAACATCTGAAGACCACATGGGCTAAACCGCAGATGTCCACTTTTTGAAAGTTTTTAGTAAGCGTACTTTTCGTGTAATACTAGTGCATATCTATCTATATATATATGAAGTAATGTATGTTCGTTTTTGTGTCAGTCTGTCTTTCATGCATTACTACACCTCTCATCACATCGCCGTGAAACTTTGGGAAGTTGTTGTGAATATTTCTGGGGAGGTTTCTGCGAAAAAAAAAATTTCAAATTCGCAGGGGTGGCGCCCCGGTAGAGTGCGATTTGTTTTTTCTCTATATACGCCATATAAAAATAAAAGTCCATTTTGGTTTGCCACCGTTCATCCGATAGGCATGAGATTTTGGGGAGTTGATTAGAACACTACCTGGAAGGGCTCTGCAAAAAATAGTTTAGAATATAAAGAAAGGAACTTTAAATTTGATTTAGATATAGTTATATAGATCTACTCATCAAGACGTACGCTATGAAATATATACAGACTAATAATGTATACGAGCCCCTAATAGCCATCACTAAACCCGACTACGATTGTAAACATTTAGCGTGAACCACAGGTATGTGAACAAAACAAGATTGCAAAGCTAGTCAGGCCTGTCTAAGATTTAAAGACTCATACTAAAAAGGTATGTGAACAAAACAAGATTGCAAAGCTAGTCAGGCCTGTCTAAGATTTAAAGACTCATACTAAAAAGGTATGTGAACAAAACAAGATTGCAAAGCTAGTCAGGCCTGTCTAAGATTTAAAGACTCATACTAAAAAGGTATGTGAACAAAACAAGATTGCAAAGCTAGTCAGGCCTGTCTAAAATTTAAAGACTCATACTAAAAAGGTATGTGAACAAAAGAAGAAGAACTGCCAAACTACGACCTGAGTCAGAAGCAGACCAAAGCCAGAGCGTGAGTCAGAATTTGACATAGACCATCTGATTATTTAATACTATAGGTCCATGGCTATCAGTATTAGAATAATCAAAGCTTTTTCAATACATACTGGGTGATCTTCCACGCCTTATCATGAATTCAGTAGAATTATAAGGGAAAAACAACATAGGTCCAAAATTGGTAGGCATTATTTTTTTATTTATTCTGAACATGTGGTTTGACCTGGTAACTAAATGAATACACCTACACATCAAGGATTGAACCTATTGTCATAAAAAGCTCCTGTTAATTCAAAATCTAACACGTGTGAGGCTACCGGAGTCTGAAAAAACACTAAATTTCGTTTTTCTCAAAAGTGAAAAAGTCTGACAATTGTGGTTTAGCCCATGTGCTCTTCATCTAGTTCTTAACTTGTCTAGAAAGAGTACTTACTGAATTCAGTGATGTAGATTAAAATTCTTGCAACCAGATCTAGGTAACTTTTCTGAAATTGTACACAAATAGGATCATTAGCAACTAAATGACAAAATGGCTGCAAGCTTGCTGTTTGTTATTTTACCAACAGAAATACAAACTCCTGTCCCTGCTTTTTATGTATAGGCCCTTTAATAAATGAACCAGTTGTTTTATTCAGGCTATATAGCAACAGATACATATTTTAAAAATAATAGTCAATTATTGTTTGTGAATTTCAGATATTTGAAACCAATTAGTGAAATCAATAAAAACAAGTCCATTGCCAAGTCAAATGAGATATAGGAATTATAGACTAAATTTCACTTTTGTAATTCATTTAAATTTGATGCAGAATATTTTTTTAAAATGCGTCAATTTTAGAATAACCTATTCAATCTATTGTAAAGCGAGATAAATGTTTGAATACTTGAATCAAGAATGCCATGTGAATAGCTGCCTTATTTTTTCTATTCTATTCTACAAGTTATAGTACAGGTCATCCTAATTTTCCCTCTTTTTTCTTTTACCAACTGGGCTTGTTATGATGATTCAATCAAAAACTCTTCTAGTCCAGGCATGGTGAAGCAAACGTGCATCACATTCTGGCTGCCTAAATAAACTCAGGGTCTATCAAGACCTAACTCTGGAACTTTTGTAGTCTCTCAGAGATGTAAGGCTACTCATCTACCTGACTAGCCCAAATCTAGCCACAGTGCTACCTGACTAGTGTAAAGAAATAGCCCAAATCTAGCCACAGTGCTACCTGACTAGTGTAAAGAAATAGCCCAAATCTAGCCACAGTGCTACCTGACTAGTGTAAAGAAATAGCCCAAATCTAGCCACAGTGCTACCTGACTAGTGTAAAGAAATAGCCCAAATCTAGCCACAGTGCTACCTGACTAGTGTAAAGAAATAGCCCAAATCTAGCCACAGTGCTACCTGACTAGTGTAAAGAAATAGCCCAAATCTAGCCACAGTGCTACCTGACTAGTGTAAAGAAATAGCCCAAATCTAGCCACAGTGCTACCTGACTAGTGTAAAGAAATAGCCCAAATCTAGCCACAGTGCTACCTGACTAGGGTAAAGAAATAGCCCAAATCTAGCCACAGTGCTACCTGACTAGGGTAAAGAAATAGCCCAAATCTAGCCACAGTGCTACCTGACTAGGATAAAAAAATTCCCTGAAACCTTGCTGTAAGGAATGCATGAGGCCTGTGGTCTGATGGCAAAGATTTCTTGCACTGAAGTCTAATACCAGAGGCTAATACACCATTTAGGAGGGTGACACCAAGGCAAAAAAAAAGCAAAATAAATAGAGAAAAATGATAATTCCACTTTATTAAGTGATTAATTTGAGTGTTAAATAGTGTTTTAAGAAGTGCAAATCGAAAGTTTGAGGGGGGGGGGGGGTGGGGTGCAAATAAAATATTGAAAGTTTGTCCCTGGGAAGGGTCGCTACGCTTCTGGGGGGTGACACCATTAAGTGCCTCAACGGGTGACACCCGACCTCACTACACCACTGTTTAATACTACTATGTCATTTTCACGTAGCACTGTATCTCAAGTAGCACCCTGTAATGTAGCACTATATGACAAGTAGCACCCTGTAATGTAGCACTGTATGACAAGTAGCACCCCTGTAATGTAGCACTGTATGACAAGTAGCACCCTGTAATGTAGCACTGTATGACAAGTAGCACCCTGTAATGTAGCACTGTATGACAAGTAGCACCCTGTAATGTAGCACTGTATGACAAGTAGCACCCTGTAATGTAGCACTGTATGACAAGTAGCACCCTGTAATGTAGCACTGTATGACAAGTAGCACCCCTGTAATGTAGCACTGTATGACAAGTAGCACCCTGTAATGTAGCACTGTATGACAAGTAGCACCCTGTAATGTAGCACTGTATCTCAAGTAGCACCCCTGTAATGTAGCACTGTATGACAAGTAGCACCCTGTAATGTAGCACTGTATCTCAAGTAGCACCCTGTAATGTAGCACTGTATCTCAAGTAGCACCCTGTAATGTAGCACTGTATGACAAGTAGCACCCTGTAATGTAGCACTGTATCTCAAGTAGCACCCTGTAATGTAGCACTGTATCTCAAGTAGCACCCTGTAATGTAGCACTGTATGACAAGTAGCACCCTGTAATGTAGCACTGTATCTCAAGCAGCACCCTGTAATGTAGCACTGTATGACAAGTAGCACCCTGTAATGTAGCACTGTATGACAAGTAGCACCCTGTAATGTAGCACTGTATCTCAAGCAGCACCCTGTAATGTAGCACTGTATGACAAGTAGCACCCCTGTAATGTAGCACTGTATGACAAGTAGCACCCCTGTAATGTAGCACTGTATGACAAGTAGCACCCTGTAATGTAGCACTGTATGACAAGTAGCACCCTGTAATGTAGCACTGTATGACAGTAGCACCCTGTAATGTAGCACTGTATGACAAGTAGCACCCTGTAATGTAGCACTGTATGACAAGTAGCACCCTGTAATGTAGCACTGTATGACAAGTAGCACCCCTGTAATGTAGCACTGTATGACAAGTAGCACCCTGTAATGTAGCACTGTATGACAAGTAGCACCCTGTAATGTAGCACTGTATGACAAGTAGCACCCCTGTAATGTAGCACTGTATGACAAGTAGCACCCTGTAATGTAGCACTGTATCCCAAGTAGCACTGTATCTCAAGTAGCACCCTGTAATGTAGCACTGTATGACAAGTAGCACCCTGTAATGTAGCACTGTATCTCAAGTAGCACCCTGTAATGTAGCAGTGTATGACAAGTAGCACCCTGTAAGGTAGCACTGTATCTCAAGTAGCACCCTGTAATGTAGCACTGTATGACAAGTTGCACCCTGTAATGTAGCACTGTATCTCAAGTAGCACCCTGTAATGTAGCACTGTATCTCAAGTAGCACCCTGTAATGTAGCACTGTATGACAAGTAGCACCCTGTAATGTAGCACTGTATCTCAAGCAGCTCCCTGTAATGTAGCACTGTATGACAAGTAGCACCCTGTAATGTAGCACTGTATGACAAGTAGCACCCCTGTAATGTAGCACTGTATGACAAGTAGCACCCTGTAATGTAGCACTGTATGACAAGTAGCACCCTGTAATGTAGCACTGTATGACAAGTAGCACCCTGTAATGTAGCACTGTATGACAAGTAGCACCCTGTAATGTAGCACTGTATGACAAGTAGCACCCTGTAATGTAGCACTGTATCTCAAGCAGAACCCTGTAATGTAGCACTGTATGACAAGTAGCACCCCTGTAATGTAGCACTGTATGACAAGTAGCACCCCTGTAATGTAGCACTGTATGACAAGTAGCACCCTGTAATGTAGCACTGTATGACAAGTAGCACCCTGTAATGTAGCACTGTATCCCAAGTAGCACTGTATCTCAAGTAGCACCCTGTAATGTAGCACTGTATGACAAGTAGCACCCTGTAATGTAGCACTGTATCTCAAGTAGCACCCTGTAATGTAGCAGTGTATGACAAGTAGCACCCTGTAAGGTAGCACTGTATCTCAAGTAGCACCCTGTAATGTAGCACTGTATGACAAGTAGCACCCTGTAATGTAGCACTGTATCTCAAGTAGCACCCTGTAATGTAGCACTGTATCTCAAGTAGCACCCTGTAATGTAGCACTGTATGCCAAGCAGCACCCTGTAATGTAGCACTGTATCTCAAGCAGCTCCCTGTAATGTAGCACTGTATGACAAGTAGCACCCTGTAATGTAGCACTGTATGACAAGTAGCACCCCTGTAATGTAGCACTGTATGACAAGTAGCACCCTGTAATGTAGCACTGTATGACAAGTAGCACCCTGTAATGTAGCACTGTATGACAAGTAGCACCCTGTAATGTAGCACTGTATGACAAGTAGCACCCTGTAATGTAGCACTGTATCTCAAGCAGAACCCTGTAATGTAGCACTGTATGACAAGTAGCACCCCTGTAATGTAGCACTGTATGACAAGTAGCACCCCTGTAATGTAGCACTGTATGACAAGTAGCACCCTGTAATGTAGCACTGTATGACAAGTAGCACCCTGTAATGTAGCACTGTATCTCAAGTAGCACCCCTGTAATGTAGCACTGTATGACAAGTAGCACCCTGTAATGTAGCACTGTATCTCAAGTAGCACCCTGTAATGTAGCACTGTATCTCAAGTAGCACCCTGTAATGTAGCACTGTATCTCAAGTAGCACCCTGTAATGTAGCACTGTATGACAAGTAGCACCCTGTAATGTAGCACTGTATGACAAGTAGCACCCTGTAATGTAGCACTGTATCTCAAGTAGCACCCTGTAATGTAGCACTGTATGACAAGTAGCATCCTGTAATGTAGCACTGTATGACAAGTAGCACCCTGTAATGTAGCACTGTATGACAAGTAGCACCCTGTAATGTAGCACTGTATGACAAGTAGCACCCTGTAATGTAGCACTGTATGACAAGTAGCACCCTGTAATGTAGCACTGTATGACAAGTAGCACCCTGTAATGTAGCACTGTATGACAAGTAGCACCCTGTAATGTAGCACTGTATGACAAGTAGCACCCTGTAATGTAGCACTGTATGACAAGTAGCACCCTGTAATGTAGCACTGTATGACAAGTAGCACCCTGTAATGTAGCACTGTATGACAAGTAGCACCATGTAATGTAGCACTGTATGACAAGTAGCACCCTGTAAAGTAGCACTGTATGACAAGTAGCACCCTGTAATGTAGCACTGTATCTCAAGTAGCACCCTGTAATGTAGCACTGTATGACAAGTAGCACCCTGTAATGTAGCACTGTATGACAAGTAGCACCCTGTAATGTAGCACTGTATGACAAGTAGCACCCTGTAATGTAGCACTGTATGACAAGTAGCACCCTGTAATGTAGCACTGTATGACAAGTAGCACCCTGTAATGTAGCGCTGTATGACAAGTAGCACCCTGTAATGTAGCACTGTATGACAAGTAGCACCATGTAATGTAGCACTGTATGACAAGTAGCACCCTGTAAAGTAGCACTGTATGACAAGTAGCACCCTGTAATGTAGCACTGTATGACAAGTAGCACCCTGTAATGTAGCACTGTATGACAAGTAGCACCCTGTAATGTAGCACTGTATGACAAGTAGCACCCTGTAATGTAGCACTGTATGACAAGTAGCACCCTGTAATGTAGCACTGTATGACAAGTAGCACCCTGTAATGTAGCACTGTATGACAAGTAGCACCCTGTAATGTAGCACTGTATGACAAGTAGCACCCTGTAATGTAGCACTGTATGACAAGTAGTACCCTGTAATGTAGCACTGTATGACAAGTAGCACCCTGTAATGTAGCACTGTATGACAAGTAGCACCATGTAATGTAGCACTGTATGACAAGTAGCACCCTGTAAAGTAGCACTGTATGACAAGTAGCACCCTGTAATGTAGCACTGTATCTCAAGTAGCACCCTGTAATGTAGCACTGTATGACAAGTAGCACCCTGTAATGTAGCACTGTATGACAAGTAGCACCCTGTAATGTAGCACTGTATGACAAGTAGCACCCTGTAATGTAGCACTGTATGACAAGTAGCACCCTGTAATGTAGCGCTGTATGACAAGTAGCACCCTGTAATGTAGCACTGTATGACAAGTAGCACCATGTAATGTAGCACTGTATGACAAGTAGCACCCTGTAAAGTAGCACTGTATGACAAGTAGCACCCTGTAATGTAGCACTGTATCTCAAGTAGCACCCTGTAATGTAGCACTGTATGACAAGTAGCACCCTGTAATGTAGCACTGTATGACAAGTAGCACCCTGTAATGTAGCACTGTATGACAAGTAGCACCCTGTAATGTAGCACTGTATGACAAGTAGCACCCTGTAATGTAGCACTGTATGCCAAGTAGCACCCTGTAAAGTAGCACTGTATGACAAGTAGCACCCTGTAATGTAGCACTGTATGACAAGTAGCTCTATAACCAGGCAGGAGAGATCAGGTGAAAATTTCAAAACATTTTAATAGAAAAAAAAAGATGCTGTGCCCCAACTTAACATCCACGGCATCTCAAGCTGATTCTAGTTTTCATTTCATTGAGGAAGTGATGAGTGTATGCCCCTTTAAAGAAAGTCAAACAAATTACCCTTGATGTGGCTTTAGAGAAAACAAACTCCTCAAGTTCTGCAGCTGACTTTGGGACCTGAGACTCAGATTTTCTCATTTCTTCTTGGCTGAAAAAGCAATTGCACACATTTGACTCAAGAGAGTTCAACACAATTTCTCATCAGTGGAGGACAATTTCAAATACCACCATTAGCTTCAACAAATACATATCTCATAGTGTTTATGTTCAATTTAAGAAAATAATTACTTGGATTATCAAATTTTCTCAAATTCTGAAGGGGCTTAAATGAATAAACAACTTATGAGATTAGCAGGCTATCTAACAACAGGACACTTTTAATTCAAAATAGCACTGTTGAATTTGGCATTAAAAAACATGCAAAAATAGTTTAAAATTAAATTGATGAATTTATGGAGTAGGTTTGCTTAACCACCACTTCCAACAGTCTAACCCCATTGTCAAAAGAAAAAAACTGCTATTTGTTAATGAAAAAATTATGAACAGATTTTCAGAATTAAGTGTGAAATGTTTTTCTTCTCATTGAATTTTTTCATTGGTTTAGCTCAGGGGTCTCCAAACTTTTCAGTCCGAGGGCCGCATTAACTATCAAATTTCAGTTCGGGGGCCAGTTTCTTCCAGGCATGTCACTGATTTTTCTGGGCAAAGTTCCTCAGCCATCACCAACAAACGTGGACAAAAAAATCTCCGCGGGCCGGATGAGAGGACATCGCGGGCCGCATCCGGCCAGCGGGCCGTAGTTTGGAGACCCCTGGTTTAGCTAGTAGCATCCATATCCAGGAGTTTTCAAACCCGATGGTCTATTGGGCAAGACAAGCAGAGCTTATCTGTTTCTGTCAGCACTATGCCCAGCCGCACTTATTTTCCCTACCATGAGTCAGGTACCCATCATAGCTGGGTGGACTCAGGGACAGTATGGTCAGCACTAGGCCCAGCCGCCCTTTTTTTCAGAACCCATTTTTTTACACAGCTCACTGAAGATGTAGAGCCTCAGAGCACTATTTCACACATACTTCACTTTTGAATACTTGAGCCAGTTTTTGAGGCAAGGTTTTAGTAGCCAACACATGCCGGTATAGAATACAATGTGTAACCATACTGTGTGATGCTTCACTTCCAATAGCGCACCAAAAAACAGAATTCCTTCCCAGCATGATTAGAGCTCTGTCCAAACAAACTACAGAACCAAAATCCCAAGGGAGATTGTTGTCTTTGAAAAAGTCATCTACAGGTTTCTTAAATGTTGTTGTTATGAGGCTTACAAAATAAAACATCTTTCTTTATTGTCCTCTTACTGGCTTAGATTGGAAATGTCTGATGGAGTTGGTCAGGCTTGAAATGAGACCTGCAGCTACTTGAGCCAATCATGTCCTCCATGATGGTGTCCACATTTGAAAAAAGAATTTGGTACAACTTCAGCTCCCCAGCATCATATACTTTAACACAGCTGATCAGGGCTTCACCAAATGGTGAGTGGTTTTCTCAATCAGGTAAGCAACATGGTACAAGACTGTGAAGATTAGTTTGTTGATGGGTACAGAGCCAAGAACAGGCAGGGCAGCTGTTATAAAGGTTATTTAATTATGAAAAAAAGAATGATGTATGACAAGCTAATATAAACACTATAAGGCATGCAACAGAAATGCTTGAAGCAGAAACAACAGACGTATCACAAGTCATCTGTAAAATGTTGCAAGAAATCTGGAACAATGGACCTCAGGTAAATGGAAAAACTGGTCTAATAGTCAAAGTGAAATAAAAGGGAAATAAAAAATGGTGTAAAAACTGTCAAGGCATCTCCAGACAAATAATTTACAGCCCCATGCTAAGAAGGATCTCCAGGCCTGCAAATGCAAATATGTGGAAATAACAAGCTGGGTTTAGGAAAGGCAAATCATGCACTAACCACATATTTTCCATGCCACAGATACTAGAAACAAAACAATGAATGGAAATGCCCTCTCTATGCATTATTCATCCATTTTCAAAAGGTTTTTGATAGCCTAGATGGAAACAACCTCTGGAAAATTTTACTTTGACATGGTTTTCAAGAAAAAAAAAAATAATTGCAATCAAAATCATATATGAAGGGTTCCAATGCAATGTTCTATATGGTAGACATAGCACTGGCCCATCTATGGTTCAGACATGATAGAATTTGATAGAAGGCAGAGAATTAGATCTTTTACTCATTTCTCACGTGTGAAATTTCATTTATCTATCTGAAATAGTACTCAAGTTATAGGCTTTTGAAAAATTGAAAGTAGAAAAAGTTCCACTTATGGTTATTGGATATCGCTGAAAAGTTGATACAGATCTACAATTTTGATATAATTCTCATACATGAAATTTCATCATCCTAGCTGTAACGGTACTCAAGTTATCATGTTTACAGACACACACATAGACAAGATTGCAAAACTATGTTTTTCTGACTCAGGGAGGTGTAAAACGGTGAGATTTGCAAAAAGATTTTTTTCTTGCACAATTACAAAACTTTATATTTCGTATACGAGAAAGTAAAAAAGTGAGAGGCATCTAACAACTAACAACTGGCCTAGAAGACATGAGAGGCATCAGATGGACACTAACAACTGGCCTAGAAGACATGAGAGGCATCAGATGGACACTAACAACTGGCCTAGAAGACATGAGAGGCATCAGATGGACACTAACAACTGGCCTAGAAGACATGAGAGGCATCAGATGGACACTAACAACTGGCCTAGAAGACATGAGAGGCATCAGATGGACACTAACAACTGGCCTAGAAGACATGAGAGGCATCAGATGGACACTAACAACTGGCCTAGAAGACATGAGAGGCATCTAACAACTAACAACTGGCCTAGAAGACATGAGAGGCATCAGATGGACACTAACAACTGGCCTAGAAGACATGAGAGGCATCAGATGGACACTAACAACTGGCCTAGAAGACATGAGAGGCATCAGATGGACACTAACAACTGGCCTAGAAGACATGAGAGGCATCTAACAACTAACAACTGGCCTAGAAGACATGAGAGGCATCAGATGGACACTAACAACTGGCCTAGAAGACATGAGAGGCATCAGATGGACACTAACAACTGGCCTAGAAGACATGAGAGGCATCAGATGGACACTAACAACTGGCCTAGAAGACATGAGAGGCATCAGATGGACACTAACAACTGGCCTAGAAGACATGAGAGGCATCAGATGGACACTAACAACTGGCCTAGAAGACATGAGAGGCATCTAACAACTAACAACTGGCCTAGAAGACATGAGAGGCATCAGATGGACACTAACAACTGGCCTAGAAGACATGAGAGGCATCAGATGGACACTAACAACTGGCCTAGAAGACATGAGAGGCATCAGATGGACACTAACAACTGGCCTAGAAGACATGAGAGGCATCAGATGGACACTAACAACTGGCCTAGAAGACATGAGAGGCATCAGATAGCCAGCAGTCAAAAAGATCTGCAAGAAAAACTAAATATTTTGCAAATGGAGTTGGGCTCAAACAAAACATTAACATGACCAAATTTTTTAAAAAAATACACCTGGTCAAGAACCTATTACAATAAACAACAATCAAGTAGAGCAATTAAAAGATGCAGCAGTGTCAATTATGAAGGTTAGTGCTCAGCTGAAATTAAAACAGGCATCTCTTAAGCCAAACACGCTTTGACAACCATGCAGAAAACATGAAGAAAACCTCCTCCAAAACCAAACGCAGACTTTTCAAAAGTAATGTACTTAGTTTCCTATTGTATGCAGCAAATGCTGGAAAGTTATCAACCGCCACAATCAGATCACTTGACTCTTTCCAAATTAAGTGTTTGCGAAGGATTAAAAGTATATGATGTCCACCAAATTTTGAATTTTAGGACTCCCCTTCCACGTCCACACGTGTCCATTTTCAGCAACCCCCCCCCCCCCCCACCCCCAATGTGGACATCCACAAAAATATGGAAGACCTCTCAAAACATGCGGCAAAATCACAACTAAATAGCGGCGTATGCTTACTGCGCGGGTCAGGTCGTATAAAATATCTTGTTAAAATTTGGATCTAATAGATTTATCTTTTTTTTAAAAATGCCATTAAAATGACTGACCTGAGTGCAAGAAAAATGTGTCACAGACCACCATTGGCAGACAGCTCACTCACCCTGTTTTGTTAGCAAGAGAGGAATCGCATGCACATGTCCTAGTCCACGTACTTCATTTACTAATTAGTTATGTACGCCTAGTCCCAAGGCTAAAAACAAATTAAGCAGGCCTATTGAATCTTAATAACATCAAAGACACACACAAACACGTGTGTATATATATATATATATATACATATATATATATATATATATATATATATATATATATATATATATATATATAATATATATATATATATATATATACACACACATATATATTATATTTATGTGTGTATATATATAGGCCTATATATACATAGTGTATAATATATATATATATATATATATGTGTGTTATATATATATAAGCCTATACAATATATACATTATATCCAATATTATAGGGCCTAGGGTAATCTATTGTTTTAGGTACGTAAAATCAGCCAAGGCTAGTAATGTGAAAAGAAGTTGCCTCATTCATTACATTTTAGTAATTATTTCAGTCACATTTTAAGGAAGATTTATGTTTTGAAAGTTACAAAAATGTTTCAAAGTTTCATTCATGTACCTGTTTTTAAACAATTGTATTAAAACTTTTCAGTGATAAATAAAGACTAGCGATGTTTTCATCAGATGCAATAAAGCTTGTTTACTTCAGCAGCCATCTTGTTTAAGTTTTTTTTTTGGTAAACTTATACTTACTCCGGGGAATCCACTCTATTTTACAAATGGCTGCTGTTTATATGCTAGCAAATATTGCTCGCAAACACTGCTGTTTAAAGTTAATTTCTGGCCTATATTTATATATTTAGCCATTGATTTTGGTTTATTATTCAGTTAGGGCCTATCTATAATATTTGATACAAATATATCACAATATAGGTAAAATCAAGATATAGCTTTGGTTATTATTCCATGGCGTAGTCTGTCAAGCCGTTCCGGAAACCACCGGAAATACTGTAAACCATCATTTAGGCCTATTTGCCGCCATATTATTTTAATACATAGGCCTAATGTTTAAAAATGTGCAAGGATTGATTTTAGTTGCATTTTAAATACTGTTTTGCTAATTATTTTGTATTTCTAATTATTTTGAATGTATGAGCTAATTATTGCTGCTACTAAACATTGTTCTAGATATTATTACTACTTTTAACTTTAGTAAATTTAATCGTCTTATTTTACTAACAGAATGTTATGTCCCTTACATGTCCCCTGCTTGTGTGTGAGTGTGTTGTGTGCTGGAACGACAGGTACCCTCCCTTTGGTATATAATTGTATCCCTTGGTTGAGTGAGATGACAGGTGTCAGAGCGTGTGCTAGTGTGTGAAGCAGTTAGTTGTAGTGTGGATATATATATATATATATATATATATATATATATATATATATATATATATATATATATATATATATATATATATATATATATATATATATATATATTAAATATCTTATTATTTTTTTTATTATAGAGTGTTAGTGTTATCTACTGTTGTATACGTTATATTTGTCTGTTGTTATATATATACACCCCTAGACAGAAGAACCCAACACAGAACTACTAGAGCTAGTTGTCGCAAATCTTCTGGTTTTTTTCTGTGTTTCTTAAACAAACAATTATTAGGGCCTACTACACTGCGGGCCAGATGCGGCCTGCGGGCCAGATGCGGCCCGCGAGGTCCTCTCATCCGGCCTGCGGCATTCTTTTTGTTCATGGAATAAATGTGTGTTAGAGGTGGCTGAGAAACTATGCCCAGAATATTTAAAACAATTAGAAAATGTAGCTTTGGGTGCAAATACTATTATCGGCCGTGTTGCAGACATTGATGAAAACATCGTGACTCAAATAGCGAAAAATGCAAGCAAGTTTGGCAATTTTTTAATTGCAATGGATCAGTTGCTGAACAGCTGTTCCACATCTCAGCTGCTTATGTTCATTAGAGGTGTGGATGAAGACAAAAACATAACACAAGAGCTGGCTTCCCTACATAGAATGTATGGCACTGTTACCGGAGAGAATATAGATAGTTCAGAGACATGTTAAAAGATAGAAACACAGAATCGCAAGATTTACCATATTTCACAGCAGTAAGATGGCTAATTTGCGATACATTTTTCTGAGCAGAGTATTTAAGTTGAGAAAGGAAATAGGTGACTTCTTTGAAAGTAAAGGCCAGCCACAAGCTGATGTACTTACTGTCTGATGAAAGTGGGTATAGAAATCGGCCTTTGCTGCAAACATGTCTAGTCATTTAAATTTTCTGAACCTAAAACTACTAGATGGAAATTTAGTTTCTGATCTTTACAATCAACTAAAGGCCTTCAGATCCAAACTTGTCATGTTTTTGGAACAAAAGTACAAGCCAACAACTTGACGCATTCTCAGTAGTGCAAGGTCTTTACGGCTGAAGCAACCACTGAGTTCCCCATGTCATTTGCATACAAGATCATCAAAGACCTCCAGCTGCAGTTTCAGAAGGGGTTTTCTGACTTGGATTCAAAGGCAGAAAAGTGAAACTGTTTCAGAACCCATATGAAGCAAATGTGGCCAGTTGCAAAGATGAATTGCAGCTGGAGGTCATTAGAGACACGTTCAAAGAAGGGCGGTTGGGTTTTTATAAGCTTTTGCAAAAGGAAGATTTTCCTAATATTAAAACATTTGCATCAAAGTACCTTTCAAATTTTGGAACAAGATACCTGTGTGAACAAATATTTTCAAGATTGAAATATATGAAGAATAATTTGAGAGCAAACTTGGACCTCTAGTGTGTTGTTGGCCACCGGCAGTGTTTCTTTCACACTTTTTTCTCTGGGGGGGGGAGGTGACCTTGACATTTGTATATATTTCTATATAAATTATATTTCGTTAGAGGGGGGGGGGGGCGGTACACATTTTTCAGGGGGGGGGGGGGGAATACCACTCCGAAGGGATGTTTTGAAGAAACTCTGGCCCCCCAACTGATATTTGATAGTTAATGCGGCCCTCAGGCTGAAAAGTTTGGAGACCCCTGGCCTAGTATATCGTGATTTTACCACAATATATATATGAATATAGTATAGGCCTAGGCCTACTTCTAATAATTAAAGTTAAAGCCTCAACAATGAGGCAACTTTTTTTTACATCACTAGCCGCGGCCGATTTTACGCACCTCGACCTAACCTAAAACGATAGACCACCGGGCCTACATTTAAGTAATAAGTAGGGCCTACATTTAACATTTTATAATATAATTAATAATATAATTTATTTATTATAATAGGCCTATCATTTTACTATTATTTTACATTACTCCATACTCATTACTGAGTAATACTGAGTTATTACTGGCCTAGGGCCTAGAGTAACATTACCAGCCCCGGACACCCTTAGCCTGAAACGGAGACTCCTTTCCGGTTCGAGACACCTAATTTCGTTACTATTTGACATAGAATGAAAACCAAAGCATAGAAATACTCTCCATCCAAAGAAGAATAAAAATATGTATTCCCTTTTTTTCCATTCGCAATATAACTTTTAAATATATGCCCCCAAAACAGACGACCCAGTCGTCCTGGACCCGACTACAATTTTCCCGGTTTTGCCTCCAAACGACTGGTCTTTCCTCCATCCGACTACGTCATATTTTTGCTGTTTTTTTCAGCTCAGTTGAATAAATAATCTTGTACTATTAATATTTTATGTGCTTATTTTTGTGTTTCAGTGTGTATTTGATTCTAAATGCCAAAAATAATATAATTTATAACAATGGAAAAAAAATAATAGGGGAGATAGTTTATTTTGGTTAAGGCACGACACACAACACTGTGGGTGCCTGGTATGTGGCCTGACCGACCTAAAAGGAGATTGTTTATATTATTGTTTTGAGTTTATATTTAACTCAATGCAAAAAGCCCGCCGGTTGGTTGAGGCCACGACGGGGGGACGTTCTGACCGGGATTCAAAGGGACGATTCGAAATATCATCCAAACATTGTTTTAAAAAGACGCTAAGTCGGGAGGAGTCTTTGCTTGTCCCGGCAACATAAAAATGGCCGCCTACATGACGGGTTGCTTTTAATTGCTCATATCCCACTGTGGGTAATTCAATGGATCAAAGTTTGATATAAATGGACTTATAAATGGACATATTTGCTACCAATTATAATGTTTCTGTATAAAATATTTAAATAACAGTGCAATTAGTGCCAATTAGTATTCGAAGTGAGAGTTACGGAGTTGTTCATTTTGAGGCGCATAGTCGGGCCAGGCAGAGTTACTCTAGATTCTAGATCTAGATTCTATAATTCTAGATCCTAGAATCTTTTATCCTAGCCGAAACGAATAGATCTAGACGTCTAGATATATATATTTTTTTTTTTAGATTTTTTTTGTAAATTTATTAAAAGATAACTTTAGAATGAGTTTTTTCCTGCTTTATAATTTCTTGTAAAACAAAAGGTTATTGGAAAGTTTTTCTGAGTTACTTAGACTTATTCATATATTATATGTACAGTTTTCGTTTTACTGCTTACTAGGATCTAAATCATTGTGCTAAGGTTCATCATTTTTTGTACTTGTTTAGTATCAATACTGTCAACCTTAATAAAGCACTTTGATCCTGTCGCATTTTTTTGTCATCGTGTTTTGATTTTTGTCTTGTTTTTGTAACAATATCAGTCTTAGTCTTGCTATATATTATTTTCGTTACAAAGTCAGTCAATTTAATGTAATCATGCACTATAAACTACGACTATTAGGCCTAGTTTTCTATCCACTAAATTATTAACAGTTTTAAATGCAACAAGTTACAATGTGAACAATATTTGTAAACATGCAAATAATTTTTATCAGCCATTTGAAATCAGCCCTTAGAATAATAATTATAATATTAATAGCCTAAAGGAATGAATTTCCTCAGCTACTTCACTTCTAGACTAAACCCCGAATAGTCAAAAACTTGTTTTCATCAGACACTTTAGATCTAGATTATAGACAACAACACTATGACTTACATTCTTTCAATAACCTTGTTTCTGTACTTCTGAGCCTTCCATTCATCTGATTCAACATTATCTTCACTTTCTTCTTTCTGGTTTAGAAGTGTCACCGCTGTTTTGTCAGCCATTATTTTATTGAAAAGGATAGTCTAATTTTCAAGAGAAAGAAAATCAATAATATCTTGATTTTTTTTTCTTCTTTTCTCTTTTTTTTTCTCTTTTTTTCTGCCTCAGTTTTGTAAAGTTTTATATATTGAACTATTATTTTACCTATATATAAAACTTACTTTTTCATCACTGGCCGGTATCTAAAATTACATGCTACACAATGCATAGTCAGGCGTTGTTAATAAAATTCGGTTAGGCATAGGCCTAGTAATTAGATCTACTTTAGTGGTCATCCAAAAATGACGTCACGCTTTTTTGACGATTTTACCTCCCCCCTCCCCTCCGTCACACATCGTCACAAAAAGCCAGACCCCCCCTAAATTGACGTCACACTTCAGCCTACAACCCCCCCCCCCCCTCAAAATTGCAGTTGAATTTTTTAAAACATTGATATTTTTCTAAAATCTTGTCTAAACTATTACAATTTATTAAAACAGTTATCTAAAACGCGAAATAACGTCTAAAATTCGTTTTCTAACATTGCTCTTTTATAATGCAAAAGTGTGACGTCGCAACATCTGAACCCCCCCCCCCCCCCTCATCACACATCGTCACAAAATTACGGACCCCCCCTCCCCCTCCCCCTACGAGTGTGGCGTCATTTATGGATGACCCCTTATCTAAAAATTAGAGAACATGCAAGATTTTATAAATTTTATGCCAGCTACTGGAGCTAGACAGTTTTTATATGTGTATATATATAATACCACGGGTCGTAGAAATTACCCACCTGTTATTACCCCTCCCTTCCATCCCGCAGTACAATCACCCTTTCCCACCCCAACCCCATGGTAGCCATTTCCCCAGCTTCTTTAATTGCTAGTCTATATCCTTCAGAAACAGCTTCCAATAAACAGGGCTAAATATTTGTTTGTTGAAAGTAAAGGTCCGATTTCTCCGAAAACTTGCATCTGCCAAGTTCATTAAACGTATTGTGATCGTGTTATCACTGTACTGAGTCTATTATGAAGAATAAAAGTAGATCTAGTTTTTAGAGTAGGGCCTATGACATACCCCCCCACCCCAATTCGTTTCTTTATGTTAATTATGTCCGATTTTAAACCTAAATAATTAGCCTATGACTTTTTTATCTGCCTGTTTTTATAGTAGATCTAAGTTGATTATGTGTGATCACACGAGCACATTCTGGTGGGCCTATAGATGTATTAATGTCAGACGGAAAAGGGCCACCCCGCAAAATTTTTTTTTGGATCCATATATATATATATATATATATATATATATATATATATATATATATATATATATATATATATATATATATATATATATATATATATATATATATATATATATATATATATATATGTTACGGTCAAAGCCCGAAGTCGACCAAAGCGCGGATTGGCCGGCCAATGCGCGCATTGGCCAATATTGCCTCTCATTGACCGGCCAAAGCCCGAAACTTAACTTCATTTCAATCCGCGGACTGGCCATGGTGGACCGGCCAAAGTCTGAAATTGCTCTTGATTTCGGCCTTTGGCCGGCCAGTCCGAATTAGAAGATCATCTGGCTAGGGACAAAGTCCGAATTAGAAGATCATAAGCAGATTTTGTTTTTTTTTATACCGTAAGAATCATAAAAATTAAGTCTTTGTTGATTATTATTTGGAATTACATTGTTATTTTTACACTTGGAGCGATTTGCTGTGCATTAGGTTGTGCAATTGCAGTAAATGTAGTCTTGGCCGCCGGTCAGTGATTGTGAAGATGCGATGGTTCGTAGTTATTTTCCTCAGTGCCAACGGGTGACAATGAGAGCAGTTTTTCGTGAAGAATTGAAAACTCACTTCTATCTTATAGTTGTTTAAATACACCATGGTCCGTTCCTGGCTTGTAGAAAGCGCCCTCGACGCTCATGCCAACTGCAATGACGCTTCGGGGATCACCGCGACCTCTGTCAACATCTGGAATACGGATGCTACCTGTATCTTTCACTTCAGCATGTTTAAATTTTGTTAGCATCTTAGCACCTTGCGTTTGCAAGGTAGTATGAGCTGCTGACCTGTTGTCCATGGTTTCTTGTTTCTTGTGACACAATCTGCAGGTAATATTTCCTCCGTACCCTCTTGATCCATGTCGCCTTGCATATAGAATGCTATGCAAACAAGAGCTAAACAATACGTTACTCACAATGAAACCGCACCCAGAATAATGAAAACGCGATCACAACTTAGTCTAGATAGAACATTGGCCAGGACATCCCGGCCAGTGCGCGCATTGGCCGGCCAATGTGAAAAATACGCTGTCAAGTTTAAGCGCTTCGGACTTTGGCCAGGACATCCCGGCCAGTGCGCGCATTGGCCGGCCAATGTACGAAATACGATCTTAGTGCTAAGTTCTTCGGGCTTTGGCCAAGAGAGCCGGTCAATGCGCGCATTGGCCGGCCAATCCGCGCTTTGGCCGCACTTCGGGCTTTGACCGTAACATATATAACATGTCGCAAGTGTAAACGCTGTGTAACAAATACAAGTATACATATAAGTAGGTCAAGTATAATTTATATGTTGCTAGTGTAAATGAGGTTTTTGTTCAAGGGCTACAACTCCTGCGTTTTCAAAATGGCAGACCCAAACAGAATGCAAGAAGATTGGCAATCTCCAAATTTTCGGTCAAAAATTGTTAATAAGCTGTAAGACATAGTCTAGATCTAACTTATATTTTAAAAAATAAATAGGGGTTAATCTCTTAGCATAGCATCGGAAATTATGTGGTAATGTTCGCTGAGTTTAGTAAACACACTAACTGTAACTAAGATCTAGATCTAGATCGGTAATCTATCGTTTTAGGTACGTAAAATCGGCCGCGACTAGTAATGTGAAAAACAGGTGACTCCTTACATTTTAATAATTATTTCACATTTTGAGGAGGATTTATGTTTTGAAAAATACAAAAATGTTTCCTTGTTTCATTTATGTACCTGTTTTTAAACATTTGAATTAAAACTTTTCAGTAATAAATGAACACCAGCGATGTTTCCAACATATGCAACCACGCTCATTTACTATAGCAGCCATCTTGTTAAAGTTTTATTTTTATAGACATATAGCGCGAGATTCAGGCGGAAGTCACTCTATTTTACAAATGGCTGTTGTTTATATAGCAAATCTTGCTTGCAGACACAGCTGTTTAAAGTTAATTTCTGGCCTATATTGATATATTCAGCCATTGATTTAGGTTTATTATTCATTTATCTATAATATTTGACACAAACATATCACAATATACTTCTATTACAGCCTTGACAATGAGGTAACGTTTTCGTACATTAATAGCCGCGGGCGATTTTACGTACCCAAAACGATAGATTACCTCTAGATCTACTATTCTAGATTTCTAGATCTAGAAACTCTAGATTACTAGATCTAGATTCTAGATCTAAATCGGTAATCTATCGTTTTAGGTACGTAAAATCGCCCGCGACTAGTAATGTGAAAAACAGGGGACTCCTTACATTTTAATTATTATTTCACATTTTGAGGAGGATTTATGTTTTGAAAAATACAAAAAAGTTGGTAATCTATCGTTTTGGGTACGTAAAATCGCCCGCGTCTATTAATGTACGAAAACGTTACCTCATTGTCAAGGCTGTAATAGAAGTATTTTGTGATATGTTTGTGTCAAATATTATAGATAAATGATTAATAAACCTAAATCAATGGCTAAATATATCAATAGGCCAGAAATTAACTTTAAACAGCAGTGTCTGCAAGCAAGATTTGCTATATAATATAAACAGCAGCCATTTGTAAAATAGAGTGACTTCTGCCTGAATCTCGCGCTATAAGTCTATAAAAATAAAACTTTAACAAGATGGCTGCTATAGTAAATGAGCATGGTTGCATCTGTTTTCGTACATTAATAGCCGCGGGCGATTCTACGTACCCAAAACGATAGATTACCTCTAAATCTAGATCTAGAATCTAGAACTAGTCTAGATCTAAAATCTGATTTAGATCTAGAGATCTAGTAAGATTAGAATTAGATCTACTACTAGATCTAGACTCTAGCTAGATCTAATAGTTTTAATTAGGCCCCTATGGACTATGGATTTTTCAAATTAAATAATAAAATATTCTGTTATTTCAAATACACCATCATGCAGTATAACAGTACCATACCATTAAGTTCCTTACCGCTTAAGAGAACATTTGACACCACATTAAAATATCTAGCTTACTCAGTTGCAGAGAAAAGAGAGAATTTAAAAATTATGCTAGAATGGAAAATGAAAGCCAAAACCTATTTTTATTTCAAATTCTAATTTTAAATATGCTTAGTAATAAAACAGATAGTATTAGTTACCTCACAAGTTAAAGACAGTTACAAGTACTATGAACGTTGACCCAAGGTCTTTGTCAGCACACAACAGTGTGATTACAGATTAGACAAATAAAGACAAACAGTAACACATTTTTTGACTTAGCTCGACAGTGAAAACACGTCTTGTCTGCTAGCCACGATATCCAAAAGAAAAGACGCGTGAGAAGGACGCTTGGACACCGTATAGGGGTGGGGTTGGGGGCGTGGTGTATGCGGGAGGGGGGGGGGGGTTGGTTAGGTGAAAGATATCTGTTCATTCAAGCCATCGGGTGCCCGTGTACCAAATTTAAGTATTAGTCGCGTTTCAGTGCTAAGGCGATTTTTTAAATTGTGGCAAAACCGGACGGCGGTTACACAAAAGTCCTTTTTTAAGTCATGCCCACTCTTGTTAAAGTGTTTAGCCACAGGAAGACCGTCTTCATTGTTGATTGATCGCAGGTGTTGGCTAACCCTGTCAGACAATCGTTTTCCCGTTTGTCCAATATAAAAGATGTTGCATCGCCTGCACTGGATGACGTAAACTACGTTGCGGGACTCACAGTTGAAGTGATTTTTAATTTTGAGGGTTCCCTTCGGCAGCTGGAGTGATTCAACCTGAAGGGTGAAATGACAAGTATTGCATTTATGGGGACAAGGAGTGGTGCCAAAACCGGTGTTGGTAGTGGGTGGCAGGCGGCTGCGAACTAAAAGGTCTCTAAGGTTGCGTTCCCTTCTATACACAACCAAAGGATTCTGTTGAAATAAATGGCCTAAATGGGGGTCTGACTTGAGGATAGAATAATTTTTTATAATGATATTTTTAGCCAAAACTGAATGAGGATGGTAGGGTAAGATGAGTTTAGTTCTATCTGACTTTTGTTTTGGAAATTGTTGAAGGGAGGCTTGGTGGTCAACAGTTGTTATGCGGTGTAGTGCTGACTGGAGTATATGCTCCGGGTATGACCGGAGTCGGAAGAACTGTAGTAGCTCATGGGCCTTGATCCAAAAGTCGTCATCATCTTGACAAATACGTCGCAGTCTTAATAATTGTGAGAATGGTATAGAATTTTTGCAGGCCGGGGGGTGTGACGAAGAGTAAAGTAGATATGAATGTGAGTCGGTTGGTTTGTAGAATACAGTCGTCCCAACGTTGGTTGTGTTAAGCGATATTGTCATATCCAGGAAGTTAACAGAACTCTCTGAAATTTCAGAGATAAATTTAATGTTTGGGTGGTAGTTGTTGCAGAATGATATGAAATCTTGCAGTTCTTCTTCTGCCATCTCTGTAATACCTAACCCATCATCAATGTACCGCCGATAAAAACATGGAATTCTGCCAGTGTATTTTTCCTCGATTTGACCCTCTAGGTAACCATGAAGAGACACGCATAACTAGGACCCATTTTAGTTCCCATAGCTACCCCACTTATTTGGTCAAAGAACTGACCATCGAACTCGAACGAGTTGAGGTTGAGAACTAACTCGGTTAATCTAAGTATGGTATTACTGTCAATAGAGGGATGGGGGTTCACATTAAAGAAGTGTTTAATAGCTAGTAGACCGTCTTTGTGGAGTATCGAGGTGTATAACGACACCACGTCTAATATGAAAATTAATCTCGGTTTATTGCTAGTGAATTTATTTAAAGATTCTAAAGTTAAAATAGCATGGTTGGTATCTTTGAGGTACGATGGTAGTGCCTCAACTCTGGGTTTAAAAACACTGTCCAGAAAGGATGATATAGTTTCAGTAGGACAGGCGCATGCTGATATAATGGGTCTACCTGGGCAACCAGATTTATGAATTTTGGGTAGTAAATAGAATGAGGGTCTTCCCAATTTACTGTCGAAAATGCATAGGCTAGATCACGGGTTCCCAACCTGGGGGTCGCGACCCCCCTGGGGGTCGCGAAGGGCTTTCTGGGGGGTCGCCAACTGGTATACTAAACCTTAGTAATTTGAAACAAAACATAAATATTTAGAAGAATTTTTGAAATTCGGCTTTACTTACATCACTTGAAAGGGAATAGAGAAGAAGCAAAGCGTACTGTACAAAGTTTTTCTCAGTCACGAGTTTAGGAAATCTTCAAAACTAAAACGTCATTTGAGACGAGTCATTCGAAACACACCAAAAAAGATATGGAGTTCTTTCGTCGGTATGAAGCTAGTTGCAAACGTCAGAGACTTGATCGAACAGGAAGTTTTCACCAAGGAAACACAGCATTAGTGCAAGCATCACAGGAAGTCGCGACAGAAAATGCCAAGCAAAAAAAAAAAACCCAATAGGAGAAAATCTCATCAAACGCTGCATGTTGAAGATGGTGAAGTTAAGTCTTACATGTCCGTAGATGTTAAATAACAAATTTTTATTGAAATTAAGCTTTCACCATTGTTTGCTTTTCAAGTTGATAAATCAACAGACGCGAGTTCGTGTTCGCAGTTTCTGGTCTTTGTCTATATTTATTCAGATGATAGCAAAGAAGAGTTGCTCTTTTGTGAAGATAGCATGGAGAAAGTAAATACGTTTTTTTTTTTTTAAATTGGATGATTAAAATGGGTTAAAACGGCTGTGATGGTTTGTACGGATGGTGCACCATCTATGTTTAGGTCAAAATCAAGATTTCAGAAAGCAGAAAAGATTTAGCTCCCTAACCACTGCCCTCACCAATCGCCATCAAGACTCCATTGCTGGTATAAGTGGTAAATTATATAAAAACTGGAGCCTTCAAAGAACTGAGCAAAGATCTGAATAAAGATCACGTGGTTATGCTCTTCTACACTAAAGTGCGCTGGCTGTCAAACGAATTGTTGTGAATCATGTTTTTGAATTGAAATCAAATTGTTCTGGGAAATGCAAAGGAAACAAAACCTTTTGGTATACTTAAAACGACATCGAGTGGTTGGAGAGAGTATCATACCTAGCAGGTGTGTTCGAACATCAACATAAGCATAACCTGAAGCTTCAGGGAAGATGAACGAATATTATAACTTTCCATGATTATCTCGGGGCATTTTTATCAAAGCTGCAAAATCGGCGAAGAAAATAAATCTTGGAAATATTGTAAATTTGAGAAACTCTGCAGTGTGGTAGATGAATCTAATTGTGAGATAATTGAAATTTTGAAAGAAGAAATTTATGGGCATCTTGACTCAAGTGAAAACGAAATGCAGCGCTATTTCTCTGAGCTGAAAAACAAAAGAATCTGCATTGACGCATTATCCATTCTCTTCTTCCCTCAATGTTGCCAGCATTCACGATGAATTACAAGATGAATTCTTTGATTTGTAGAATGATTCCGCGTAAGATAAAAAACTGCACCCTCAATTTTGATGTAGTATTCACCATTCATACCCAAACGTAAAATTGATTGTTTTTTTTTCGAGAATAGATTTTCAACACTATTTTTCGATTAAAAACAAAATTATGATAATGATATAGGTTGGCGTTAACAAAAAAAATGCTTTAAAAAAATTAACCACGAATGTTTAGTGAATAGTATGCAATTTTACTCATGTTATTAAAACAGTTATCAAGAGTAGTTCATATTGAAAGTCTACTAGAAAATGTTATTTTAGTGCTTATTAATTTCCATACTAATTTCGGCTTTTTAATTCTATGGGGGTCGCGGGTCACTTAATTTTTATAAAAGGGGGTCGCCACTCGAAAAAGGTTGGGAACCACTGGGCTAGATGCTGTTTTAGGGAGTTTCTTAGATGATATTAATGTGTTTATAGTTTTGGTAACAATTGTGTTATTAGTTAAGATCCCATCCTTAAGACGCGGTGAGTAGAATGTACTGTCAGAGAGTTGTTTATATGCCTCTTTTGTGTACAGGTCTTTATCCCATACAACGATAGCCCCGCCTTTGTCAGCCGGTTTAATTACAATGTCCGTGCGGGTCCTCAAACATGCGAGCGCACGTGATTCCCCGGCTGTGAGGTTGGAGTGTTTTAATGGGGCCGGTTTGAAGTTATTTAGTTCGTACTCTGTATGGTGGATAAACAGATTGAGGTTTTTTGAGGAATTAAAATTTGGGGTCCAGTGCGACTGTCTTTTTGCGAGTTTATAGAATAAGTCATCTTCAATGTTGTCTTGGTTAAAACCTGAGTGATTGTTGTCGAAATAAGCTTTAATTTTAAGTTTGCGGAAGAGCTCGTGGGCGCTGCTAAGCAGAGTAAATTTATCAGTGGTTGGTCTCAGGGGTATAAATTTCAAGCCTTTATTTAGGACAGATCGTTCATCACTCGAGAGGGGGATGGTGTCAGGTATGCAGACCACTTTTGTATCGGAAGGGGCGTTGCTGTTCACCGTCGGTTTAGGGGTAGGGCAGAGGTTTTTGAGTTTCTTATTTTTATGTTTCACCAGGTAGGAATAAAAATCTCGATTGAGTTGGTGAATAATGCAGCGTATAAGGTTGTAGAGTTGTAGGTTACATGATGTGTGTGAGTATAGACGTTGCTCCAAGGATGCTATCCTCCTATTTAGTGTTGAGTTAAGACGTTTGTAATGCTGGATGGTTGAGCGCATTTGTTGAAACGAATATTTAGAATTTAACTGGTTAAAAAGCCTATGTTCATATGCATTAGGAGTGGAGCATGAAGGCCGAAAGTTTATTCTGAAACCTATTGGTATTACCCGCAAGCGTAGACACTTGTTGATAAAGTGAGTATGGCTGGTGAACCTTGTTTTTCTGAACAAGGCAAACGCTAATTCTGTAGAGGTGTTAGAAATTGTAGTAGGTAGTAGGCTAAAGCACGTTGTGATGAAAATTCGCAGTTGGTTAAACGCATTTTTGTATGATAGCATGTTGATTGTCGGGCACGAAAATTTGGTTAGATGGAAAAAAAGAACAGGGAATCTTATTACTACGGTAAAGTGGGGGTAGCAGATTATGTAACTGCTCTAAAACAAAAAAGTTATGGGGTAAAAACAAGTTTGAAAAATGAAGTATGTATGTAAAACACATACGCAGATAACGAGACAAAGCAACACGTAGTAGCAGCCAAATAACTGGTTAGCGAAAAGATAAAAAACAAATGGTAGCTGCAGTGAGGTTAATGCAATTAGTAATAAAACAGATAGTATTAGTTACCTCACAAGTTAAAGACAGTTACAAGTACTATGGACGTTTCGACCCAAGGTCTTCGTCAGCACACAACAGTGTGATTACAGATTAGACAAATAAAGACAAACAGTAACACATTTTTTGACTTAGCTCGACAGTGAAAACACGTCTTGTCTGCTAGCCACGATATCCAAAAGAAAAGACGCGTGAGAAGGACGCTTGGACACCGTATAGGGGTGGGGTTGGGGGCGTGGTGTATGCGGGAGGGGGGGGGGGGGGGTTGGTTAGGTGAAAGATATCTGTTCATTCAAGCCATCGGGTGCCCGTGTACCAAATTTAAGTATCAGTCGCGTTTCAGTGCTAAGGCGATTTTTAAAATTGTGGCAAAACCGGACGGTGGTTACACAAAAGTCCTTTTTTAAGTCATGCCCACTCTTGTTAAAGTGTTTGGCCACAGGAAGACCGTCTTCATTGTTGATTGATCGCAGGTGTTGGCTAACCCTGTCAGACAATCGTTTCCCCGTTTGTCCAATATAAAAGATGTTGCATCGCCTGCACTGGATGACGTAAACTACGTTGCGGGACTCACAGTTGAAGTGATTTTTAATTTTAATATGATAGTTATGATAATAATGATAGTCTATAATTACAAATACATTTTACACTCAATTCACATTATATTGAGTCAACAGTGTGGCAGCTGAAGTTCATAGACATGGAGCTCCGAGTCTTTTTTTACATTTCATTTTTTTTTCATATTGAAAACATGACGAGTGATTTTAAAAAAAAATAATATCTCCAAATATTGTCACTAACGTGATTGCTTGCTTACGTTTACTAGCCGTGGGTGAAAAATCCAGGGTCGACGGGGTCACTGTGAGTTCAGCAGGCCTATAGGCTAGTACACGTCATAAAATGAACACGCGTACACAAGATCGTCATGTCTTCACTTCCCCCTCCCCCCTTTCTTCAAGCAAATTGAAAAACAACCTACTTTGCTACTTCTGGTCATTTTTTTTAAGTTCACATATCACGCATGCTAGACAGCCAGCTGTATAAAAAAAAACAATTTACTAAAGAGCAGTTTGATTTAGCTAGATCCAGGACTATCGTCCTGATACCTATTTTTTTTTTAGATTGCGTGCTACCTAGGGTAAAGATTTAGCTTAACGAGGAGCGAACAGCGCAAATGCGGCCTAAACAAATTATTACATTTTTTAATTATAACAGAGTAGAGCCGAATGGATACAAAGCTAAGACTAATTTTAAAACTTAGCTTAATTTTTTTTGTTTACACAAAAGGCACACATTATTTTTAAACTCTTAAAAGATAAAGCAAATGTTTAATGTAGAAGGTAAAGTAATTTAAATATTCAATTTCAACTTGAAGTTGATCTATCTTGAAAAAAATCTGTCACGAAAAAAAACTAGATAAAAGCTCTCCATTCTGTACTTATACCAATTATAATTTTAACAGACGAAAATGATGCTCGCGCAAAAAAATTTTTTTTTTTAACTAGATCAAAGTCTAGCTTAAAAAAATGTAAAAAATTAGCGCTTAAAATGCCTGTAAACAGATTATTTTGCGCCAAAAAAAAAGGCGGTTTAACAAGCATTGTTTAAAATACGCAGCAATGACAAAGGCTAATGGCCGATCAATTAAATCTAAAAATATAACCCTAACCCTTGGATAAAAAACTAGTGCCTAAAAGAATGAAACTTGACTCTACAGGGAGGATGTCATGAGAAACAGTCAGACTCAGATGCCTAAGTCAAGTGTGGAAATGGAAGAGTATGTTTTTCGTAAGGCAAGAACTAGAGTGAGTATTTTAAGTTCTCTCTCAAAATAGCCTGTGAAAAATGACCTCTACCAATTGGCTCCTGACCAAAAGACCCATTCAAAATAGCCTTGATAAATAGGCCCAGACAAAAGGACATGAAAAAATAGCTCCATTCAAAATGGCCTGTGACAATTTTGACATTAGCTCCTGACAAAAATAGCGAGTTACAATTTTGACATTAGCTCCTGATGAAATGGCCTTTGACAATTTTGACATTAGCTCCTGATGAAATGGCCTTTGACAATTTTGACATTAGCTCCTGATGAAATGGCCTTTGACAATTTTGACATTAGCTCCTGATGAAATGGCCTTTGACAATTTTGACATTAGCTCCTGAAGAAATGGCCTTTGACAATTTTGACATTAGCTCTTGACAAAATGGCCTTTGAGAATTTTGACATTAGCTCTTGACAAAATGGCCTTTGACAATTTTGACATTAGTTCTTGACAAAATGGCCTTTGAGAATTTTGACATTAGTTCTTGACAAAATGGCCTTTGAGAATTTTGACATTAGTTCTTGACAAAATGGCCTTTGACAATTTTGACATTAGTTCTTGACAAAATGGCCTTTGACAATTTTGACATTAGCTCCTGATGAAATGGCCTTTGGCAATTTTGACATTAGCTCTTGACAAAATGGCCTTTGACAATTTTGACATTAGCTCCTGATGAAATGGCCTTTGACAATTTTGACATTAGCTCTTGACAATGACTCCTGAGATACGAACTATCAAAAAAGAATTGTATACCTTTTGCAGGAAGAATACCTGGACTTGGTAGCTCGGGTGTTACTGTCTGTTGGAGACCACAGTGAGTTCTTGTTACCATAGTTACCATAGAACCTGTCATTTGATTAGTCCAGTACATGTATTGTGTGTTTTTTTTACCTTTGGTGTAAAATATTTGTGCATAAGCTGTTTTTTCTCCAAAACAAGGTAATAAAAATATAATAAAAAATAGTTTACATTTTAAAATATATGGATTTAAAAATGATCTAGAAATGCATGGTTCAAACTTCTTCTTAGTTCTTAATTGTAATGTTGGATAGGAGTTCTTCCAACACAATTAAGTATTACGTGTCAACATGTTAAGCGCCATATGGACAGTTGATGCTCTGAAATAAAAAAAAATAACCAGTTTTGAAAAGAAAGTAGAGTTCAGTGTTGTAAAACAACAAAAAAATGTTATGAACATGGCTACTAAACTACTGTCAGTGAAAACTATTTCTTTATTCTAAACCCTTATGTTGGGACATGATTTCCATCAACACCATTTTCTTTTAGATTTGCTTTCATAGCTTTTGTCCATCCAAGAACAAAATAACAAGACAGTTGTTTGATTTTGGAGTTTTCTCTCCTAAATGGGTTACTGTCCCCATGTGTCCGGGGGTTTGAACCATTAGCATTAGTGGCCTTACTGTCCCCATCTGTCCGGGGGTTTGAACCATTAGCATTAGTGGCCTTACTGTCCCCATCTGTCCGGGGGTTTGAACCATTAGCATTAGTGGCCTTACTGTCCCCATCTGTCCGGGGGTTTGAACCATTAGCATTAGTGGCCGACCCTATTGTTTCTAGTTTTTTGTTTGTAGATTCTAAGGACAAGAAGATGAATTCAGGCATTCCACCTAATATGGGTCAACCTGGAATGAATGTAATGCGAGCTCAAGTTACTGATCAGGATCCTATGAATGCACTTCAGAGTTTAACAGTCCAAGGTGCTGGAGCTATGGGTCGCCCAGCTGATGGATTCACTGCTCAATATGATACTCTGGGTGAGCAGCAGTCTATACAAAGTCAAGCCAGTGGATTCTTTTGGGCATCAGTTTTCTGTTTGATCAGTTTTTTTTAGGGTTTAACATTTTGAGAGTGAGGCATTTTATATAGGGTTTAACATTCTGTGAATGAGCAGTTTTATTTAGGGTTTAACATTCTGAGAATGAACAGTTTTATATAGCGTTTAACATTCTGAGAATGAGCAGTTTTACATAGGGTTTAATATTCTGAGAATGAGCAGTTTTACATAGGGTTTAACATTCTGAGAATGAGTAGTTTTATATAGGGTTTAACATTCTGAGAATGAGTAGTTTTATATAATGTTTAAGATTCTGAGGGTGATCAGTTTAATTTAGGGCTTAATATGTATGTGTGTGTGTGTGTGTAATTACAGTTTTTCCCAAGTGGCTTCATGAAACATTTCTTTTCCTCTACCAGGTGATCAGATGACCAATCAGATGACCAATCAGTACGAGTCTTTAGGTACTTTTCACTTTCTTGTTTCTAAATATTTCATTCTATTGCCATTTTTCCCTTAGTATTAATATCATAACTTTACTTTCAATTGGAACATTTTGAAATCTATAAAATAAATGATATTCACTCATAATAAGGTTAAACTGTACAACGAATGAGTGCAAGAAAGAAATTAATCTGTGCTTAGTTTTTTGGTTAGGGTTCATTTTTTCTTGAACAATCAAACAATAATGCACATGGCTAAATGAGCATTGGTGATGTGCAGGGGGAATGATGCATGGTATGGGAGGGAACATACAGCAACCTAGAATGATGCAGAACATCAGGGCACAGATGGGACAGCGGCCACAAAATTTGATTGTAAGTTGCCAGTCACATGATATTTGATTGTAAGTTGCCAGTCACATGATATTTGATTGTAAGTTGCCAGTTACATGATATTTGATTGTAAGTTGCCAGTTACATGATATTTGATTGTAAGTTGCCAGTTACATGATATTTGATTGTAAGTTGCCAGTTATATGATATTTGATTCTAAGTTGCCAGTTACATGATATTTGATTGTAAGTTTCCATTTAAAGTGCAGCTCATGATTTCATCTTGTTTAATATACATGTAGTATTTGAATTCATTTGAGTCTTATCTTCATCTTTATTTGTCTACTAAGATCATTCAAATTTATTTATACAACATCAAAAATTCAACTGAGTGGATACAACCTCTTTGATTCAGCTTGGTTGATACAACCTAATTGATTCAGTTTGGTTAATACAACATCCTTGATTCAACTTGGTTGATACAACCTCGTTGATTCACTTTGGTTTTGTCTTGGAATTTATGACCTGTAGACAACTATTGAATTCTTGTATATACTCACAGCGTCAGGATGCTTTCATAGTGACATCTTCCCAGGCAATGCAAGGGCAAGCACATGCCATGTCAGTCTCCAGTCCAGGAGTAAGTTTTTTTTAATTTAAAAGAGGACATCATACTGGGGACGGCAGCATCAGATGTTAGAGCTTATTTTTGCTGACTAAAAGTCTTGAGGTGAAATCTGTCTGAGTCCACTCAGCCCTGATGGGTACCTGACTGAAATTTAAGGCGGCTAGGCTTTGTGCTGACCATACTATCCTTTCTTAGTAAAGGTTACTGAAACATTGAATCTACTTCACCTACCACATGGACCGTGACCATCTGGTTTTTATAGTTTACTTAATTTGGCTCATATATACTGTGTATATGTACTTTAAAAACTTTTAAAGTTTACTTAATTTGGCTCATATATACTGTGTATATGTACTTTAAAAACTTTTAAAGTTTACTTAATTTGGCTCATATATACTGTGTATATGTACTTTAAAAACTTTTAAAGTTTACTTAATTTGGCTCATATATACTGTGTATATGTACTTTAAAAACTTTTAAAGTTTACTTAATTTGGCTCATATATACTGTGTATATGTACTTTAAAAACTTTTAAAGTTTACCTAATTTGGCTCATATATACTGTGTATATGTACTTTAAAAACTTTTAAAGTTTACTTAATTTGGCTCATATATACTGTGTATATGTACTTTGAAAACTTTTAAAGTTTACTTAATTTGGCTCATATATACTGTGTATATGTACTTTAAAAACTTGAATATTGTATTTGGTGTAAAGTAACAACCGTACAACCGTTTATGTTTAAGATTTCACTTTATATAAGCTTTTACTAAACTTGCTTCATCTGTCTGTTTCTCTGCTTTTGTCTTTTGTTTAATAGGTAAAAAATGTAACATGGCGATTGAAATTTTGATACCTTCTAGCCTATTCTTTCAAATTGGGGGGGAGGGGGGGGGCAAAATTTGATTACAATGCAATGTGATATCAATATGACTTTATGATTTTTAAAAATATATAATGATAATTGACCACTAATGAAATAACTATGAAAGCTATGTGAGATATTCCATGTATGTGTTTTAGAATGAGTTAGAGCTTATGTTTGTCAACAGATGACATATTCTGCTGGTCCAATCAGGCAAATGCAAGGTCAAGGTCAATACTTACAAGTAAGAGCTAGTTACATATTTTTTTTTCTGAATTGGAATTAATCTAGGCTCATCATGCAATCTTCAGGCTTTTTTTTATTGACCCACTTTTATTAGGCACAACTAACTGGTTTTTACAAGCTTTTATTAAGTTGGCAACATCTGTTTATTTGTGGTAAACAATGCAGATTAGTTTTATTTTATTTTCTAAGTTTCTCCTGCTGCTGAAGGTGTAAAACAATCGCATGATTACAATACATTCTTCAATTTTCCATATTTGATAAAGTAGGAGGATGTAAAACAACAAAAATTGTCAAAATCTTTTGTGCACAATCCCATTTCTTACTCTATACTCTTTATATGAGAAAGTAAAAAGCTACAAAAATTTGAAGCCTTTATTAGGTTATTTCTGAGGTTGGGCTGTCACCGCTCTAGGGATATAGGCCGCTCACAAGAACTTTCCAGGTGTCTCTGTCCTGGGCTAGTCTCTCCAACTGTCCTGGGCTAGTCTCTCCAACTGTCCCAAGTGTCTCTGTCCTGGGCTAGTCTCTCCAACTGTCCTGGGCTAGTCTCTCCAACTGTCCTGGGCTAGTCTCTCCAACTGTCCCAGGTGTCTCTGTCCTAGGCTAGTCTCTCCAACTGTCCTGGGCTAGTCTCTCCAACTGTCCCAGGTGTCTCTGTCCTAGGCTAGTCTCTCCAACTGTCCTGGGCTAGCCTCTCCAACTGTCCTGGGCTAGTCTCTCCAACTGTCCTGGGCTAGTCTCTCCAACTGTCCCAGGTGTATCCAGTCTTCTTGGTGTCTTCTTGCCTATTTTCCTTTTGCCTCATTGATTCTAGGTAATGACCCGTCTTGTTGGCCCTTAGCCCTTAAGGGCTAAGGGCCACATGTGGAGTATAGGGCAGCAACCAATCTTCACCATTCCAGTCTGTCTAGGGCGAGCCACTTCAATTCATGCCAGGTCTTGCCAGTAGCCAGGACTTCTTCTTCCATCTCCCTCCTCTATGTTCCCAGTGGTCTTCCTCTCTTTCGCTTTTCAGGCGGAGTCCACTTCAGCGCCATGTTGGGGAGTCTTTTTTTGCTCATACATAGGACATGGCCCAGCCATCTCCATCTCCTCATTCGAACTTCTGAGACAATGTCATTTAATCCTGTCCTTCGCCATATTTTCGTCCCACTTTATTCTGAGGATGCGTTTGAGGGATCTTCTTTCAAAGCCTCTGAGTCGGCTGTCTCCTTTCTTGTTTAGTTTCCATGACTCTGCAGCATAGAGGAGTACAGAACGTACATCAGACTTGTAGATCTTATTTTAGTTCTCTGCTGCAGTGAGGATGATTTCCAGATCTTAGCAAGTCTGTTGAAAGCCTGTGCTGCCATTGCTATTCTGGTGGCTATTTCTTTCTCCGTGCTACCATTTGCTGATATATAGCTGCCGTGGTGCTTAAAGTCTTCGACCTCTTCTAGCTCTGCTCCATTCGCAAAGGTCTTGAGAGCACTTTTGGTTTTTATTTTCATTAGCTTGGTTTTTCCGGAGTTTATCTTTAGCCCAACGCTTTTGGCAATTTGCTCTATTTTTGTGGTTTTTGCTTGGATGGCTTTTTGGTCATGTGAGCGTAAATCCAAATCATCAGCAAAGTCACAGGTATTCCCAATGTCTCCATAGAGTAAAACAGGTTTTACTAGTGTGGTAAAGTCCTGGATTTTGTTGTAGTTGAAGGCTGTTCTTGTCTTGCCTGTCCTTATTTTTATGACAGCTTTTGTCCCACCTTGCTTATCCAAGCTAGGTGAGTAGCCTTTATCCGAAAACTTAAAAACTGGATATAGAACAGTCTAGTTCTAGGGAAGCCATTTTTGTATCTTACAGACAGATAAACAAATATCAAGATACTAGCTGCATACCAGTGCTCCGCCACGGTAAATCTTTTTTAAATGTACCAACTTGGGAACAGAACAAAAGTAAACACAACACAAACGCAACACAAACACAAAAGAAACACAAAAGAAAACACAAACACAAATGCACCACACAAACACAAAAGAAAACACAAACACAATGCAAACACAAAAGACAACACTCATAACATAAACACAAAAAACCCTAACCCTAACCACAAACTGAAAGATAGAATAATAATTAGTAAACAGTACGTTCAGTGTATAAAATAAATAAAATGCAGTATTTAAAATATCCGACTTTTACCAACCATATAGCACTTTATTAATACATGCATTTTATTTTCAGTACTTTAAATTTTAAAAATTTACAATAAAGATCATGACTAAAACCATTGGGCACCTAATGAACATGAAGACGCGTGTATAATAGTCCGGGATAGTTGATAAAAAATTATAATAAGTAAACAGTAAGTTCAGTGAATAAAATAAATAAAAGATTGCCTTTTATTATTCCACGCTAATTATAATATTCCAACAATAATGTCCTCCTACACGTCTGCAGAATTTGCATTCACATTTTGCTAATTATATTATTTCAACAACCATTCCCTCTTGGTGATTATGCATTCACATTTTTACTTTCTCGTATATACAAAGTATAGAGAAAGTCTTGTAATCTTGCAAAAAAAAAAAAAAAAAAAAAAAAATCGAGATTTTTGTGAGCTTTTATGTGGCCATTGACTGCTCAGGACATGTGGGTAGTGTGAGTGCTGACAATGAATGTGTGTGAGTAGTGTGAGTGCTGACAATGAATGTGTGTGAGTGCTGACAATGGATGTGTGTGAGTAGTGTGAGTGCTGACAATGAATGTGTGTGATTAGTGTGAGTGCTGACAATAAATGTGTGTGGGTAGTGTGAGTGCTGACAATGTGTGTGAGTAGTGTGAGTGCTGACAATGTGTGTGAGTAGTGTGAGTGCTGACAATGAATGTGTGTGAGTAGTGTGAGTGCTGACAATGAATGTGTGTGAGTAGTGTGAGTGCTGACAATGAATGTGTGTGAGTAGTGTGAGTGCTGACAATGAATGTGTGTGAGTAGTGTGAGTGCTGACAATGTGTGTGAGTAGTGTGAGTGCTGACAATGTGTGTGAGTAGTGTGAGTGCTGACAATGAATGTGTGTGAGTAGTGTGAGTGCTGACAATGAATGTGTGTGAGTAGTGTGAGTGCTGACAATGAATGTGTGTGATTAGTGTGAGTGCTGACAATGTGTGTGAGTGCTGACAATGAATGTGTGTGAGCAGTGTGAGTGCTGACAATGTGTGTGAGTAGTGTGAGTGCTGACAATGAATGTGTGTGAGTAGTGTGAGTGCTGACAATGAATGTGTGTGAGTGCTGACAATGAATGTGTGTGAGTAGTGTGAGTGCTGACAATGAATGTGTGTGATTAGTGTGAGTGCTGACAATGTGTGTGAGTGCTGACAATGAATGTGTGTGAGCAGTGTGAGTGCTGACAATGTGTGTGATTAGTGTGAGTGCTGACAATGTGTGTGAGTAGTGTGAGTGCTGACAATGTGTGTGAGTAGTGTGAGTGCTGACAATGAATGTGTGTGATTAGTGTGAGTGCTGACAATGAATGTGTGTGATTAGTGTGAGTGCTGACAATGTGTGTGAGTGCTGACAATGAATGTGTGTGAGTAGTGTGAGTGCTGACAATGTGTGTGAGTAGTGTGAGTGCTGACAATGAATGTGTGTGAGTAGTGTGAGTGCTGACAATGAATGTGTGTGAGTAGTGTGAGTGCTGACAATGTGTGTGAGTAGTGTGAGTGCTGACAATGAATGTGTGTGAGTAGTGTGAGTGCTGACAATGTGTGTGAGTAGTGTGAGTGCTGACAATGTGTGTGAGTAGTGTGAGTGCTGACAATGAATGTGTGTGATTAGTGTGAGTGCTGACAATGAATGTGTGTGAGTAGTGTGAGTGCTGACAATGTGTGTGAGTAGTGTGAGTGCTGACAATGTGTGTGAGTAGTGTGAGTGCTGACAATGAATGTGTGTGATTAGTGTGAGTGCTGACAATGAATGTGTGTGAGTGCTGACAATGAATGTGTGTGAGTGCTGACAATGAATGTGTGTGATTAGTGTGAGTGCTGACAATGAATGTGTGTGATTAGTGTGAGTGCTGACAATGTGTGTGAGTGCTGACAATGAATGTGTGTGAGTAGTGTGAGTGCTGACAATGTGTGTGAGTAGTGTGAGTGCTGACAATGAATGTGTGTGAGTAGTGTGAGTGCTGACAATGAATGTGTGTGAGTAGTGTGAGTGCTGACAATGAATGTGTGTGAGTAGTGTGAGTGCTGACAATGTGTGTGAGTAGTGTGAGTGCTGACAATGAATGTGTGTGAGTAGTGTGAGTGCTGACAATGTGTGTGGGTAGTGTGAGTGCTGACAATGTGTGTGAGTAGTGTGAGTGCTGACAATGAATGTGTGTGAGTAGTGTGAGTGCTGACAATGAATGTGTGTGAGTAGTGTGAGTGCTGACAATGTGTGTGAGTAGTGTGAGTGCTGACAATGTGTGTGAGTAGTGTGAGTGCTGATAATGAATGTGTGTGAGTAGTGTGAGTGCTGACAATGTGTGTGAGTAGTGTGAGTGCTGACAATGTGTGTGAGTAGTGTGAGTGCTGATAATGGATGTGTGTGAGTAGTGTGAGTGCTGACAATGAATGTGTGTAAGTAGTGTGAGTGCTGACAATGAATGTGTGTGAGTAGTGTGAGTGCTGACAATGTGTGTGAGTAGTGTGAGTGCTGACAATGTGTGTGATTAGTGTGAGTGCTGACAATGTGTGTGAGTAGTGTGAGTGCTGACAATGTGTGTGAGTAGTGTGAGTGCTGACAATGAATGTGTGTGAGTGCTGACAATGAATGTGTGTGATTAGTGTGAGTGCTGACAATGAATGTGTGTGATTAGTGTGAGTGCTGACAATGTGTGTGAGTGCTGACAATGAATGTGTGTGAGCAGTGTGAGTGCTGACAATGTGTGTGAGTAGTGTGAGTGCTGACAATGAATGTGTGTGAGTAGTGTGAGTGCTGACAATGAATGTGTGTGAGTGCTGACAATGAATGTGTGTGAGTAGTGTGAGTGCTGACAATGAATGTGTGTGATTAGTGTGAGTGCTGACAATGAATGTGTGTGAGTAGTGTGAGTGCTGACAATGTGTGTGATTAGTGTGAGTGCTGACAATGTGTGTGAGTAGTGTGAGTGCTGACAATGTGTGTGGGTAGTGTGAGTGCTGACAATGTGTGTGAGTAGTGTGAGTGCTGACAATGAATGTGTGTGAGTAGTGTGAGTGCTGACAATGAATGTGTGTGATTAGTGTGAGTGCTGACAATGTGTGTGAGTGCTGACAATGAATGTGTGTGAGCAGTGTGAGTGCTGACAATGTGTGTGATTAGTGTGAGTGCTGACAATGTGTGTGAGTAGTGTGAGTGCTGACAATGTGTGTGAGTAGTGTGAGTGCTGACAATGAATGTGTGTGAGTGCTGACAATGAATGTGTGTGATTAGTGTGAGTGCTGACAATGAATGTGTGTGATTAGTGTGAGTGCTGACAATGTGTGTGAGTGCTGACAATGAATGTGTGTGAGCAGTGTGAGTGCTGACAATGTGTGTGAGTAGTGTGAGTGCTGACAATGAATGTGTGTGATTAGTGTGAGTGCTGACAATGAATGTGTGTGAGTAGTGTGAGTGCTGACAATGAATGTGTGTGAGTGCTGACAATGAATGTGTGTGAGTAGTGTGAGTGCTGACAATGAATGTGTGTGATTAGTGTGAGTGCTGACAATGAATGTGTGTGAGTAGTGTTAGTGCTGACAATGTGTGTGAGTAGTGTGAGTGCTGACAATGTGTGTGAGTAGTGTGAGTGCTGACAATGAATGTGTGTAAGTAGTGTGAGTGCTGACAATAAATGTGTGTGAATGTTCACAATGAATGTGTGTGAGTAGTGTGTGTGCTGACAATGAATGTGTGTGAATGTTCACAATGAATGTGTGTGAATGTTGACAATGAATGAAGGCTACTGGAGTTTGGACAGTTGATTGTTTATGTATTGGTCTTCTATTTCTTTAAAAGCAGGGCCGGGACATTGGAATTTCTGGTATGCCAGTGCAATCACCAGCTCAGGGGTAGGTCAGAAATCTGTCTCTAATAGTATTTTTAAATAGTTTGTTTGTTGTCACTTGCCTCATGTGTCAGTTGTCACTTGCCTCAAGTGCCAATTGTCACTTGCCTCATGTGTCAGTTGTCACTTGCCTCAAGTGCCAATTGTCACTTGCCTCAAGTGCCAATTGTCACTTGCCTCATGTGTCAGTTGTCACTTGCCTCAAGTGCCAATTGTCACTTGCCTCATGTGTCTGTTGTCACTTGCCTCATGTGCCAGTTGTCACTTGCCTCATGTGTCTGTTGTCACTTGCCTCATGTGTCTGTTGTCACTTGCCTCATGTGTCTGTTGTCACTTGCCTCATGTGTCTGTTGTCACTTGCCTCATGTGTCAGTTGTCACTTGCCTCATGTGCCAATTGTCACTTGCCTCATGTGTCTGTTGTCACTTGCCTCATGTGTCAGTTGTCACTTGCCTCATGTGTCTGTTGTCTAACCCCAGATCTCCACTGACAATGATGTCCTCACCACATATGATGCCTTCACCAGTTGTCAGGGGCCAGATGGGTGTCCCATCTCCTAATACCATGCTTCACACACCAGGTAGAGTTGAATAGAGAGACAACCTTAAGATTCTAGAGTGGATCATGACAAAAGTTCAGCATTGTTTGCTTTATTGCAGGCACTGCTGTGTCTGATGACAAAAGTGAAGCATTGTTTGCTTTATTGCAGGCACTGCTGTGTCTGATGACAAAAGTGAAGCATTGTTTGCTTTATTGCAGGCACTGCTGTGTCTGACCCCAGTCCTGGACCTCCCAGCACATCACAAGAAGAGATGGAATATGTCAAGAAATTGGAAAAACTTTCCCGCTACATTGAACCATTGAGAAAATTCGTTATTGATTCAGAAAAAAAAACAGATGAAGGTGAATTTTTTACTACGCTAATTCTCTTTGTAGATCTAATAGCCTCTAGATTTGGTAGCCTCTAGATCTAGTAGCCTCTCTGTAGATCTGGTAGCCTCTAGATCTGGTAGCCTCTCTGTAGATCTGGTAGCCTCTCTGTAGATCTGGTAGCCTCTCTGTAGATCTGGTAGCCTCTAGATCTGGTAGCCTCTCTGTAGATCTGATAGCCTCTCTGTAGATCTGGTAGTCTCTCTGTAGATCTGGTAGCCTCTCTGTAGATCTGGTAGCCTCTCTGTAGATCTGGTAGCCTCTCTGTAGATCTGGTAGCCTCTCTGTAGATCTGGTAGCCTCTAGATCTGATAGCCTTTCTGTAGATCTGGTAGCCTCTCTGTAGATCTGGTAGCCTCTCTGTAGATCTAATAGCCGCTAGATCTGGTAGCCTCTCTGTAGATCTGGTAGCCTCTAGATCTGATAGCCTCTCTGTAGATCTGGTAGCCTCTCTGTAGATCTGGTAGCCTCTATGTAGATCTGGTAGCCTCTCTGTAGATCTGGTAGCCTCTCTGTAGATCTGGTAGCCTCTCTGTAGATCTGGTAGCCTCTCTGTAGATCTGGTAGCCTCTATGTAGATCTGGTAGCCTCTCTGTAGATCTGGTAGCCTCTATGTAGATCTGGTAGCCTCTCTGTACATCTGGTAGCCTCTCTGTAGATCTGGTAGTCTCTCTGTAGATCTGGTAGCCTCTCTGAAGATCTGGTAGCCTCTCTGTAGATCTGGTAGCCTCTCTGAAGATCTGCTAGCCTCTCTGTAGATCTGGTAGCCTCTCTGTAGATCTGGTAGCCTCTAGAACTGATAGCCTCTCTGTAGAACTGATAGCCTCTCTGTAGATCTGGTAGCCTCTCTAGATCTGGTAGCCTCTCTGTAGATCTGGTAGCCTCTCTGTAGATCTGATAGCCTCTCTGTAGATCTGGTAGCCTCTAGATCTGGTAGCCTCTCTGTAGATCTGGTAGCCTCTCTAGATCTGATAGCCTCTCTGTAGATCTGGTAGCCTCTCTGTAGATCTGATAGCCTCTCTGTAGATCTGGTAGCCTCTCTAGATCTGGTAGCCTCTCTGTAGATCTGGTAGCCTCTCTGTAGATCTGATAGCCTCTCTGTAGATCTGGTAGCCTCTAGATCTGGTAGCCTCTCTGTAGATCTGGTAGCCTCTCTGTAGATCTGGTAGCCTCTCTAGATCTGATAGCCTCTCTGTAGATCTGGTAGCCTCTCTGTAGATCTGATAGCCTCTCTGCAGATCTGGTAGCCTCTCTGTAGATCTGGTAGCCTCTATGTAGATCTGGTAGCCTCTCTGTAGATCTGGTAGCCTCTCTGTAGATCTGATAGCCTCTCTAGATATTGTAGCCTCTAGATCTGGTAGCCTCTCTGTAGATCTGGTAGCCTCTCTGACGATCTGGTAGCCTCTCTGACGATCTGGTAGCCTCTCTGTAGATCTGGTAGCCTCTCTGTAGATCTGGTAGCCTCTAGATCTGGTAGCCTCTCTGTAGATCTGGTAGCCTCTAGATCTGGTAGCCTCTCTGTAGATCTGGTAGCCTCTAGATCTGGTAGCCTCTCTGTAGATCTGGTAGCCTCTCTGTAGATCTGGTAGCCTCTCTGTAGATCTGGTAGTCTCTCTGTAGATCTGGTAGCCTCTCTGAAGATCTGGTAGCCTCTCTGTAGATCTGGTAGCCTCTCTGAAGATCTGCTAGCCTCTCTGTAGATCTGGTAGCCTCTCTGTAGATCTGGTAGCCTCTAGATCTGGTAGCCTCTCTGTAGATCTGATAGCCTCTCTGTAGATCTGGTAGCCTCTCTGTAGATCTGGTAGCCTCTCTGTAGATCTGGTAGCCTCTAGATCTGGTAGCCTCTCTGTAGATCTGATAGCCTCTCTGTAGATCTGGTAGTCTCTCTGTAGATCTGGTAGCCTCTCTGAAGATCTGGTAGCCTCTCTGTAGATCTGGTAGCCTCTCTGAAGATCTGGTAGCCTCTCTGTAGATCTGGTAGTCTCTCTGTAGATCTGGTAGCCTCTCTGAAGATCTGGTAGCCTCTCTGTAGATCTGGTAGCCTCTCTGAAGATCTGCTAGCCTCTCTGTAGATCTGGTAGCCTCTCTGTAGATCTGGTAGCCTCTCTGAAGATCTGGTAGCCTCTCTGAAGATCTGGTAGCCTCTCTGAAGATCTGGTAGCCTCTCTTTAGATCTGGTAGCCTTTAGATCTGGTAGCCTCTCTGTAGATCTGGTAGCCTCTCTGAAGATCTGGTAGCCTCTCTGAAGATTTGGTAATCTCTAGACCTGGTAGCCTCTAGATCTGGTAGCCTCTCTGTAGATCTGGTAGCCTCTCTGAAGATCTGGTAGCCTCTCTGAAGATCTGGTAGCCTCTCTGAAGATTTGGTAATCTCTAGACCTGGTAGCCTCTAGATCCGGTAGCTTCTCTGAAGATCTGGTAGCCTCTAGACCTGGTAGCCTTTAGATCTGGTAGCCTCTCTGTAGATCTGGTAGCCTCTCTGTAGATCTGGTAGCCTCTCTGTAGATCTGGTAGCCTCTCTGTAGATCTGGTAGCCTCTCTGTAGATCTGGTAGCCTCTCTGTAGATCTGGTAGCCTCTAGATCTGATAGCCTTTCTGTAGATCTGGTAGCCTCTCTGTAGATCTGGTAGCCTCTCTGTAGATCTAATAGCCGCTAGATCTGGTAGCCTCTCTGTAGATCTGGTAGCCTCTCTGTAGATCTGATAGCCTCTCTGTAGATCTGGTAGCCTCTCTGTAGATCTGGTAGCCTCTCTGAAGATCTGGTAGCCTCTCTGTAGATCTGGTAGCCTCTAGATCTGGTAGCCTCTCTGTAGATCTGGTAGCCTCTCTGTAGATCTGGTAGCCTCTCTGTAGATCTGATAGCCTCTCTGTAGATCTGGTAGCCTCTCTGTAGATCTGGTAGCCTCTCTGTAGATCTGGTAGCCTCTCTGTAGATCTGGTAGCCTCTAGATCTGGTAGCCTCTCTGTAGATCTGGTAGCCTCTCTGTAGATCTGGTAGCCTCTAGATCTGATAGCCTCTCTGTAGATCTGGTAGCCTCTCTGTAGATCTGGTAGCCTCTCTGAAGATCTGGTAGCCTCTCTGATGATCTGGTAGCCTCTCTGTAGATCTGGTAGCCTCTCTGTAGATCTGGTAGCCTCTCTGAAGATCTGGTAGCCTCTCTGAAGATCTGGTAGCCTCTCTGAAGATTTGGTAATCTCTAGACCTGGTAGCCACTAGATCCGGTAGCTTCTCTGTAGACCTGGTAGCCACTAGATCCGGTAGCTTCTCTGACGATCTGGTAGCCTCTCTGTAGATCTGGTAGCCTCTCTGTAGATCTGGTAGCCTCTCTGAAGATTTGGTAGCCTCTAGAATTGAGAGCCTCTAGATTTGGTAGCTAGAATTTCATTTGGTAAATGACATCAACTCCACTCAATAGCTTGAGAACAACATATTTGCTGGTCACTCTCTAGACCAGGGGTCTCCAAACTTTTCAGACCGAGGGCCGCATTAACTATAAAATATCGGTTCAGGGGCCAGAGTTTCTTCCAAGCATCTCTCCGGTGTGGCGGACTCCTCCCCTCCTACAAAATATAATTTTATACAACTTCCAAGTGTCCCCCCTTCCCCCCACCCTGAGAAAAAAGTCTGAAAGAAACACTGTCGGTGCCCGACAACACACTCGAGGTCCAAGTTTGTTATGAAATTGTTCTTCACGTATTTCGTTCCTGAAATTGTTTGATCACACAGGTATGTTGTTCCGAAATTTAAAAAGCTACTTTGTTGCAAATGTTTTAATATTAGGAAAGTCTTCCTTGAGCAAAAACTTATTTTTAAAAAAAGACCTATAAAAACCCACTCGCACTTCTTTGAACTTGTCTCTAATGGGGTCAGAAAACCGCAGCTGGAGTTCCTTGATGATCTCGCATGCAAATGATCCGGGGGACTCAGCTGTTGCTTCAGCCATGTTGGCCTGTACTTGTTCCAAAACCATGATAAGTTCGGATCTGAAGGCCTCTAAGTGGGTGTATAGATTAGAAATTAGATTTCCCTCTCTAGTAGTTTTAGGTTCAGAAAATTTTAATGAATAGTTATGTCTGCAGCAGAGGCCAATTTCCACTTGACTTTACTTTCCAGGAATTAACCTTTTTGCTTTCTTAACTTACGTACTCAACTCAGAACTTTCTCACAACTCAGCCATCTTAGTGCTGTGTAATATGGTAAATCTTGCGATTCTGTGTTTGTATCTTTCAACATCTCTCTGAACTATCTATGCTTGAGCCCATTGTGACTATTTAATTCACCATCTTCACTTCATGATTCAGTACACTGCTGATGAATAATACAGTGCAGGAACATTGGTTGTAGAATGTTATCTCATTCGCTTGTCCAACCAAGCCTTTCTTTTTGTCACTTATGTACTTTCCTCCATCAACAGTCAGGTAACTGAGGTTAGTCCAGTCCAAATTATACTCAGCAAATGTGTTTTTTAACTCATTAACTATATCATCTCCGGTAACAGTGACATACATGTTATGTAGGAAGCCAGCTCTTGTGTTATATTCATGTCTTTATCCACACCTCTAATGAATACAAGCAGTTGAGAGGTGGAACAGCTGTCCAGCGACTTATCCATTGCAATTGAAAATGGCGAAGCTTGCTTGCATTTTTCGCTATTTGAGTCACAATGTTTTCAACAAAGCAGGCATTGGTATCTGAACCCAAAGCTATATTTTAAAATTGTTTTGAATTTTCTGGACAGAGTTCCTCAGCCACCTCCAACAAAAAAAAAAAATTTCCATAGACAAAAAGATTTCTGGGGGCCGGATGAGAGGACCTCGGGGGCGGCACCCCTGTTCTAGACCCCCAGGGATGATGAGATTTGCTGGTATTTCTCTAGACCCCCAGGGATGATGAGATTTGCTGGTCTTTCTCTAGACCCCCAGGGATGATGAGATTTGCTGGTCTTTCTCTAGACCCCCAGGGAAGATGAGATTTGCTAGACTTTCTTTAAAGATGTCAACATAGTTTATATCTTTATATCTTGGTTACACCTTCTCATTCATTGAATGCTACTTATCAAATGACTTACTCTGCAGATAGCAAAAAGAACCATAAAAAGATGAAAAGTTTACTGGACATACTGACCAATCCAAAGAAAAGGTCAGTTATCACAGAGCACAGCAAGTAGACATTTTTGTATTGAAAACCTTTCATATCCATCTGATGTCACATCTTCATCTATGTGTCTATCTGATGTCATGTCGGTGTCCATCTGATGTCATGTCTTTGTCCGGTGACAGGACAAATGATCTCAGACAAAATATCTCAGTCAAAATATCTCACGGACAAATGATCTCAGGACAAATGATCTAAAAGACAAATGATCTCACGGACAAAAGATACCAGGACAAAATATATCAAGACAAATGATACCACGGACAATTGATCTCCAGACAAAATATCTCACAGCAAAATTTTAATAGTATATTAAGACGTAGGCTACGAAATGTATACAATTTTCTAGGCAAAAAGTAATACAAATTACTTTAAAAAACAACATAAGTACTATTGAACAGCTGGGTTTTTAAACGGAATCATTTAAGTCTCTTGATCAGTGTGTACTTTAATATGGTGTTGTGTTGACTAATAATGTATATAATTTGGTTTTTCTAATAATTATTGGTAACCTTTTCCTTTGTTTTTTTAATGTGCCGGATTTTTAGCCATTTAGTTATTTATTTGCTTTGTCACTAATATCTCAATGTGTTTTGTTTAAACTTTTTAAAATAGAATAGAGTTGCGCACCAAGTTAACGCAAGACAAAATGTGTATAATAGTGTGGAATATTATTAGTACTTTATAAAATCACAAGCGTTTTTTGAGAAATCGGAAATAGTGCAAATTACTTCTTCAGGTCAACGGAAATTACTAAAAATTTGGCAGAATGCAGAGAATTAGATCTTTTACTTATATGTGAAATTTCATTTATCTATCTGAAACAGTGCTCAATTTAAAGGCTTTTGAAAAATTGAAAGTACAATAAGTTCCACTTCTGGTTATTGGAAATCGCTGTAAAGTTGACACAGATCTATAAATTTGATATAATACTTACATCATCAACCTAGCTGTAACGGTACTCAAGTTATCGTGTTTACAGACTTACATACACACACACACAGACATATGTACAAGATTGCAAAACTATGTTTTTCCGACTCAGGGAGGTGTATAACGTCAAGATTTGCAAAAAGATTTTTTTTGCAGGATTACAAAACTTTCTCTATACTTCTTATACGAGATAGTAAAAACAAAAAAAACATAACATGTATTTTAAAAAAAAAGTGTGGTTTTACTACCTGACCATGTAGAAAGTGTGGTTTTACTACCTGACCACAAGACCTTGACCATGTAGAAAGTGTGGTTTTACTACCTGACCACAAGACATTGACCATGTAGAAAGTGTGGTTTTACTACCTGACCATGTAGAAAGTGTGGTTTTACTACCTGACCACAAGACCGTGACCATGTAGAAAGTGTGGTTTTACTACCTGACCATGTAGAAAGTGTGGTTTTACTACCTGACCACAAGACCGTGACCATGTAGAAAGTGTGGTTTTACTACCTGACCATGTAGAAAGTGTGGTTTTACTACCTGACCACAAGACCTTGACCATGTAGAAAGTGTGGTTTTACTACCTGACCATGTAGAAAGTGTGGTTTTACTACCTGACCACAAGACCTTGACCATGTAGAAAGTGTGGTTTTACTACCTGACCACAAGACCGTGACCATGTAGAAAGTGTGGTTTTACTACCTGACCATGTAGAAAGTGTGGTTTTACTACCTGACCACAAGACATTGACCATGTAGAAAGTGTGGTTTTACTACCTGACCACAAGACATTGACCATGTAGAAAGTGTGGTTTTACTACCTGACCACAAGACATTGACCATGTAGAAAGTGTGTTTTTACTACCTGACCACTAGACATTGACCATGTAGAAAGTGTGGTTTTACTACCTAACCACAAGACCTTGACCATGTAGAAAGTGTGGTTTTACTACCTGACCATGCAGAAAGTGTGGTTTTACTACCTGACCACAAGACATTGACCATGTAGAAAGTGTGGTTTTACTACCTGACCACAAGACATTGACCATGTAGAAAGTGTGTTTTTACTGCCTGACCACAAGACCCTGACCATGTAGAAAGTGTGGTTTTACTACCTGACCACAAGACCGTGACCATGTAGAAAGTGTGGTTTTACTACCTGACCATGTAGAAAGTGTGGTTTTACTACCTGACCATGTAGAAAGTGTGGTTTTACTACCTGACCACAAGACCCTGACCAAGTAGAAAGTGTGGTTTTACTACCTGACCACAAGACCCTGACCAAGTAGAAAGTGTGGTTTTACTACCTGACCACAAGACCGTGACCATGTAGAAAGTTTGGTTTTACTACCTGACCATGTAGAAAGTGTGGTTTTACTACCTGACCATGTAGAAAGTGTGGTTTTACTACCTGACCACAAGACCTTGACCATGTAGAAAGTGTGGTTTTACTACCTGACCACAAGACCGTGACCATGTAGAAAGTGTGGTTTTACTACCTGACCACAAGACCGTGACCATGTAGAAAGTGTGGTTTTACTACCTGACCACAAGACCTTGACCATGTAGAAAGTGTGGTTTTACTACCTGACCACAAGACCGTGACCATGTAGAAAGTGTGGTTTTACTACCTGACCATGTAGAAAGTATGGTTTTACTACCTGACCATGTAGAAAGTGTGGTTTTACTACCTGACCACAACACCATGACCATGTAGAAAGTGTGGTTTTACTACCTGACCATGTAGAAAGTGTGGTTTTACTACCTGACCACAAGACCTTGACCATGTAGAAAGTGTGGTTTTACTACCTGACCATGTAGAAAGTGTGGTTTTACTACCTGACCACAAGACCTTGACCATGTAGAAAGTGTGGTTTTACTACCTGACCATGTAGAAAGTGTGGTTTTACTACCTGACCATGTAGAAAGTGTCGTTTTACTACCTGACCACAAGACCGTGACCATGTAGAAAGTGTGGTTTTACTACCTGACCATGTAGAAAGTGTGGTTTTACTACCTGACCACAAGACATTGACCATGTAGAAAGTGTGGTTTTACTACCTGACCACAAGACCGTGACCATGTAGAAAGTGTGGTTTTACTACCTGACCACAAGACCGTGACCATGTAGAAAGTGTGGTTTTACTACCTGACCATGTAGAAAGTGTGGTTTTACTACCTGACCACAAGACCGTGACCATGTAGAAAGTGTGGTTTTACTACCTGACCATGTAGAAAGTGTGGTTTTACTACCTGACCACAAGACCTTGACCATGTAGAAAGTGTGGTTTTACTACCTGACCACAAGACCCTGACCAAGTAGAAAGTGTGGTTTTACTACCTGACCACAAGACATTGACCATGTAGAAAGTGTGGTTTTACTACCTGACCACAAGACATTGACCATGTAGAAAGTGTGGTTTTACTACCTGACCATGTAGAAAGTGTGGTTTTACTACCTGACCACAAGACCTTGACCATGTAGAAAGTGTGGTTTTACTACCTGACCACAAGACCCTGACCATGTAGAAAGTGTGGTTTTACTACCTGACCATGTAGAAAGTGTGGTTTTACTACCTGACCACAAGACCCTGACCAAGTAGAAAGTGTGGTTTTACTACCTGACCACAAGACATTGACCATGTAGAAAGTGTGGTTTTACTACCTGACCATGTAGAAAGTGTGGTTTTACTACCTGACCATGTAGAAAGTGTGGTTTTACTACCTGACCACAAGACCTTGACCATGTAGAAAGTGTGGTTTTACTACCTGACCATGTAGAAAGTGTGGTTTTACTACCTGACCATGTAGAAAGTGTGGTTTTACTACCTGACCACAAGACCGTGACCATGTAGAAAGTGTGGTTTTACTACCTGACCACAAGACATTGACCATGTAGAAAGTGTGGTTTTACTACCTGACCATGTAGAAAGTTTGGTTTTACTACCTGACCATGTAGAAAGTGTGGTTTTACTACCTGACCACAAGACATTGACCATGTAGAAAGTGTGGTTTTACTACCTGACCACAAGACCTTGACCATGTAGAAAGTGTGGTTTTACTACCTGACCACAAGACCCTGACCATGTAGAAAGTGTGGTTTTACTACCTGACCATGTAGAAAGTGTGGTTTTACTACCTGACCACAAGACCCTGACCAAGTAGAAAGTGTGGTTTTACTACCTGACCATGTAGAAAGTGTGGTTTTACTACCTGACCACAAGACATTGACCATGTAGAAAGTGTGGTTTTACTACCTGACCACAAGACATTGACCATGTAGAAAGTGTGGTTTTACTACCTGACCACAAGACATTGACCATGTAGAAAGTGTGGTTTTACTACCTGACCACAAGACATTGACCATGTAGAAAGTGTGGTTTTACTACCTGACCACAAGACCGTGACCATGTAGAAAGTGTGGTTTTACTACCTGACCATGTAGAAAGTGTGGTTTTACTACCTGACCACAAGACCTTGACCATGTAGAAAGTGTGGTTTTACTACCTGACCACAAGACCCTGACCATGTAGAAAGTGTGGTTTTACTACCTGACCATGTAGAAAGTGTGGTTTTACTACCTGACCATGTAGAAAGTGTGGTTTTACTACCTGACCACAAGACCTTGACCATGTAGAAAGTATGGTTTTACTACCTAACCATGATTGACCAAACAAGATGCTATAAACACTGATCACAAGATGTAGTGAGACTGTGAAAGAACTGCTAAAAGCTGCATTGATGTCTCATCTATTACAGGGTACCAATGGTTGTTCTTGAAAAGTGTGAGCAAGTTTTGCAAAAGCTGGTGAGTTTTTTCCAATCCTTATGGCATTTTATGGTTGCAAAAAAAAATTGATGTGCTGTTAGATTATCAGTTGTCTTGATAATGTCCCTAAGGATAATATTTCATGTAAGCAAGATATAACTGTAACACATATGGTTACCAGCCAAGGGAGGATAAGAATAAAGTTTTAATTCATTTGGTTGCGGCCCCTGTGGGACCGTAGCCCTGTTGATGTAGTTGTTTTGCATGCTCTTCTGTGACCGATTTTACCTGTGCCCATGTCATGTGACATGGGATTATGGGTAGTTCGTGCCTAGCCATGTCAGTCATATCCAAGGCTGCTATCTGCGGACACGGAGGGTGACGATACCTAGAGGTAGACATAACAATGTATCTTTTGGTTTTGTTTCATTATTCATCTCTAATCGTCGTTTACTACTATTGTTCTACATCGCCATCATGGCTTGATGTACTGTTGAATAAAGTCAATTAGTGGACAACAGCGTTGCTTCAATTTGTCCTAAATCTCAGGGTCAGCCCATCTTAAACACAACACCTCAGTGGGTAAAAGCATCCCCACTGAGCTTCCCCCACATATATTATGTTGGCTAACAAAACTTTTCCTAGCAATTTTTTTTACAAAACTGAATTCTGTGCTCAATAGGTATACAACTATCACTTGACAACAAAAGAGACAATTACATTATTATATCAGTTCATTTCTATCCTGGTAACAGTGCACAACATGTAGGGGCTGGTGTCAGACACCTGGTGTCATATAATCTTAGTTTCTTGTGAGAGAACTTGTTGGTCCTACAGGGGTGGTGTCAGACACCTGGTGTCATATAATCTTAGTTTCTTGTGAGAGAACTTGTTGGTCCTACAGGGGTGGTGTCAGACACCTGGTGTCATATAATCTTAGTTTCTTGTGAGAGAACTTGTTGGTCCTACAGGGGTGGTGTCAGACACCTGGTGTCATATAATCTTAGTTTCTTGTGAGAGAACTTGTTGGTCCTACAGGGGTGGTGTCAGACACCTGGTGTCATATAATCTTAGTTTCTTGTGAGAGAACTTGTTGGTCCTACAGGGGTGGTGTCAGACACACACACACAGTTTCATGAAATTTGATCTCACGACAAATGATCCCAGACAAAATGTCTCAGACAAAATATTTGACGGACAGATGATCTCAGGACAGTTAATGTTCATGCTCTATGACTTTTTTCTCATATTACCCTTAAGCTGATTTACCTTTATTTACCTTCGTGCTGATTTGCCCTTATGCTGATCAACTTTTTCAGACAACCAGTTCCAGTGTGTCCAGTGCCCATGGTCACATGTGTCAACCTCTCTTGGATGCAGTTGCCCATTTCTCCACAGCCTCATACCTCAATCATTCCCTTCACCGCACCTTTGGTCCAGCTCTGGAGGCTTACATGGGGCCAGCCATTAAGTAAGTGTTGATCTCTCTAGTTAGACTTACATGGGGCCAGCCATTAAGTGTTGATCTCTCTAGTTAGACTTACATGGGGCCAGCCATTAAGTGTTGATCTCTCTAGTTAGACTTACATGGGGCCAGCCATTAAGTGTTGATCTCTCTAGTTAGACTTACATGGGGCCAGCCATTAAGTGTTGATCTCTCTAGTTAGACTTACATGGGGCCAGCCATTAAGTGTTGATCTCTCTAGTTAGACTTACATGGGGCCAGCCATTAAGTGTTGATCTCTCTAGTTAGACTTACATGGGGCCAGCCATTAAGTGTTGATCTCTCTAGTTAGACTTACATGGGGCCAGCCATTAAGTGTTGATCTCTCTAGTTAGACTTACATGGGGCCAGCCATTAAGTGTTGATCTCTCTAGTTAGACTTACATGGGGCCAGCCATTAAGTAAGTGTTGATCTCTCTAGTTAGACTTACATGGGGCCAGCCATTAAGTGTTGATCTCTCTAGTTAGACTTACATGGGGCCAGCCATTAAGTGTTGATCTCTCTAGTTAGACTTACATGGGGCCAACCATTAAGTGTTGATCTCTCTAGTTAGACTTACATGGGGCCAGCCATTAAGTGTTGATCTCTCTAGTTAGACTTACATGGGGCCAGCCATTAAGTAAGTGTTGATCTCTCTAGTTAGACTTACATGGGGCCAGCCATTAAGTGTTGATCTCTCTAGTTAGACTTACATGGGGCCAGCCATTAAGTGTTGATCTCTCTAGTTAGACTTACATGGGGCCAGCCATTAAGTGTTGATCTCTCTAGTTAGACTTACATGGGGCCAGCCATTAAGTGTTGATCTCTCTAGTTAGACTTACATGGGGCCAGCCATTAAGTGTTGATCTCTCTAGTTAGACTTACATGGGGCCAGCCATTAAGTGTTGATCTCTCTAGTTAGACTTACATGGGGCCAGCCATTAAGTGTTGATCTCTCTAGTTAGACTTACATGGGGCCAGCCATTAAGTGTTGATCTCTCTAGTTAGACTTACATGGGGCCAGCCATTAAGTAAGTGTTGATCTCTCTAGTTAGACTTACATGGGGCCAGCCATTAAGTAAGTGTTGATCTCTCTAGTTAGACGTACATGGGGCCAGCCATTAAGTGTTGATCTCTCTAGTTAGACTTACATGGGGCCAGCCATTAAGTAAGTGTTGATCTCTCTAGTTAGACTTACATGGGGCCAGCCATTAAGTGTTGATCTCTCTAGTTAGACTTACATGGGGCCAGCCATTAAGTAAGTGTTGATCTCTCTAGTTAGACGTACATGGGGCCAGCCATTAAGTGTTGATCTCTCTAGTTAGACTTACATGGGGCCAGCCATTAAGTAAGTGTTGATCTCTCTAGTTAGACTTACATGGGGCCAGCCATTAAGTGTTGATCTCTCTAGTTAGGTCTACATGTCTTTATTTCAGAGCTCCAAGCCCACCCCTTACCAAAAAGAGGGTTAGAGAAGATGAGATTCCAGATATTCTTCAAGGTGAGATAGCCAGGCTAGAGCGAAGGTTCTGTGTCTCTCTAGACAGCAGATACCACCCTGGCTCTGAGTGCCACCACCTGGTCTGTAAACTGGGTAAGTTTCTTCTGTACTTTGTCATAACAAATGCTCTACACACCGTCTTTTCACTCAGAACTAAATCAATTGAACCCTAGGGTTTTGGTGAGTCGCGCTCAGGGTTTTGCATAGGTCAAGACTTATATCATTCATAAATGGATTTTGTCAGTGTGGACAGTTGAAAATTGAAAGCTGGAGTGTGTCTGTCTCATAAAGTAATGAAGGGGTGTTGGCCTAAAGGCAGACTGGACATAAGGCCAACAAACATACAAATCCTAATATGGTCACATGACCACTCACATACTGCAATGAAGGTGCAAGATAAGGTCAGCAATCATATCCAATGGACTGGATAGTACAGGAGTGTCTTAAGCACAAAAGATCATGGTTGCTAAACCGAAAAGTCTCGAGTTCGAAACCTCGGGCAGATGAGGCTCGTTAGCTGGGGACAGCCACTCTTCTTGGAGAGACAACTCCAAAATTAAAACAACTGCTGCCTTGTAGTTTGTTCTTGGTTGGACAAAGGCTATGGAAGCAAATCCAAAAAGAAAAGCAGGCTGAAATCGGAGTCAATGGCCGCAATGGCGCATAACCAGTTGACACGTAACACTTAATTGTGTTGGAGGCGTGGTCGAGTCGGCAAAAATCTCATGGTTGATACGTTCGAACAGTCTCGAGTTCAAACCCACTGTCTAGATTCTAGATACATCTTCAGTCTTACTTACACAGTTGTCTAGATTCTAGATACATCTTCATCTTACTTACACAGTTGTCTAGATTCTAGATACATCTTCAGTCTTACTTACACAGTTGTCTAGATTCTAGATACATCTCCATCTTACTTACACAATTGTCTAGATTCTAGATACATCTCCATCTTACTTACACAGTTGTCTAGATTCTAGATACATCTTCAGTCTTACTTACACAATTGTCTAGATTTTAGATACATCTTCAGTCTTACTTACACAGTTGTCTAGATTCTAGATACATCTTCAGTCTTACTTACACAATTGTCTAGATTCTAGATACATCTTCAGTCTTACTTACACAGTTGTCTAGATTCTAGATACATCTTCAGTCTTACTTACACAGTTGTCTAGATTCTAGATACATCTTCAGTCTTACTTACACAGTTGTCTAGATTCTAGATACATCTTCAATCTTACTTACACAGTTGTCTAGATTCTAGATACATCTTCAGTCTTACTTACACAGTTGTCTAGATTCTAGATACATCTCCATCTTACTTACACAGTTGTCTAGATTCTAGATACATCTCCATCTTACTTACACAGTTGTCTAGATTCTAGATACATCTTCAGTCTTACTTACACAGTTGTCTAGATTCTAGATACATCTTCATCTTACTTACACAGTTGTCTAGATTCTAGATACATCTCCATCTTACTTACACAGTTGTCTAGATTCTAGATACATCTCCATCTTACTTACACAGTTGTCTAGATTCTAGATACATCTTCAATCTTACTTACACAGTTGTCTAGATTCTAGATACATCTTCAATCTTACTTACACAGTTGTCTAGATTCTAGATACACCTCCAGTCTTACTTACACAATTGTCTAGATTCTAGATACATCTTCAATCTTACTTACACAGTTGTCTAGCAGGGGAAAGTTTGCCAAGTTCTCCTTATTTGTTTATTGTTTTCAAACTACTAGACTGAAGATGTATCTAGAATCTGAGACATTTCTGTAGCCATGGAACTGAAGCAACAATGAGACGAGCTTTCCACTGAGAGTCCTATCCAGTATGGTTGAGACAGCCTTTGACCTTGAGTGTTGAGATAACAGATGTTAGAGATTAAAACCTCAATGAAATCTTTGAAATCCAGCAGAGCCAAGTACAAGAGTAACTCTTGAGACCAATATCCTCACTGGTGTCAACAAATGGTGACAAAACTGGCTGGAGATGTTCAAACCATTTCTTACAACTTATCCAAGTCAGCAATCCTTTTTCAAGATGCTCAAACCATTTCTTACAACTTATCCAAGTCAGCAATCCTTTTTCAAGATGCTCAAACCATTTCTTACAACTTATCCAAGTCAACAATCCTTTTTCAAGATGTTCAAACCATTTCTTACAACTTATCCAAGTCAGCAATCCTTTTTCAAGATGCTCAAACCATTTCTTACAACTTATCCAAGTTAACAATCCTTTTTCAAGATGCTCAAACCATTTCTTACAACTTATCCAAGTCAACAATCCTTTTTCAAGATGCTCAAACCATTTCTTACAACTTATCCAAGTCAGCAATCCTTTTTCAAGATGCTCAAACCATTTCTTACAACTTCTCCAAGTCAGCAATCCTTTTTCAAGATGCTCAAACCATTTCTTACAACTTATCCAAGTCAGCAATCCTTTTTCAAGATGCTCGACATAGAAACAAAGAAAAGGATCAGACTTTGTTGCGACAATGCCATAAGAGAGGCACTTGCCTAGATGAAGCCGCACATTTCTCAACTGGTCTCTGCAAGGCGCAGCAGGAAGTCACACTGATTTGCATTCTGTTTTATGTTGTTGTGATAATCATGTTTCAATTATTTTGTTCTTTGAACACAGTGATATTGATGCACAATTCATTTTGCCCACCAGTAATATTAATACTTATGTTAAATAACATTGGAAAAAAAATAGCATTATACCCGAAGTTTCACTTTCATTAGACAAATATTGATTGGCTGTACAAGAACTCAGTGATCAATCTTCTGAAAACCCCACTTTATTCATTGTAATTTGTTCTCAAAACTTTGCAGATACATCCTTTAATTGAAATTTATTTTTAAAAACCAACCACATGACCTAGTTTAGCTGTGAGACCCCCTGACCCTTCTAATGCCATGATGGCCCATTAAAGTTTGAGACCCCCTGACCCATCTAATGCCATGATGGCCCATTAAAGTTTGAGACCCCCTGACCCTTCTAATGCCATGATGGCCCGTTAAAGTTTGAGACCCCCTGACCCTTCTAATGCCATGATGGCCCATTAAAGTTTGAGACCCCCTGACCCATCTAATGCCATGATGGCCCATTAAAGTTTGAGACCCCTGCTCCCAGTAGACTCCGCTGCCAATCTTAATTAAGAGATGACTGCTTTGTTGATCACATCGTTAATCATGGCCAGTATGGATTCTTGGCGCATTCGTGCACTTGTAATGAAGAATAATGCATACTTAATTGAAAATTAATTGTTGTTTTTCTCTCTTAGAGCATCAGGGGGCAACACATTTCATGTTAGGCTTGACATAAAAATATCTCTGCCACTCTCCTAGTTGTTAAAGAAAAGCACCGAGAGTGTGGTTAAACGAATCCCTTTGTATCAGCTGAGAGTGTGGTTAAACGAATCCCTTTGTATCAGCTGAGAGTGTGGTTAAACGAATCCCTTTGTATCAGCTGAGAGTGTGGTTAAACGAATCCCTTTGTATCAGCTGAGAGTGTGGTTAAACGAATCCCTTAATATCAGCTGAGAGTGTGGTTAAACGAATCCCTTTGTATCAGCTGAGAGTGTGGTTAAACGAATCCCTTTGTATCAGCTGAGAGTGTGGTTAAACCAATCCATTTGGATCAGCTGAGAGTGTGGTTAAACGAATCCCTGATAAGCTGAGAGTGTGGTTAAACGAATCCCTTTGTATCAGCTGAGAGTGTGGTTAAACGAATCCCTGATAAGCTGAGAGTGTGGTTAAACGAATCCCTTAGTATCAGCTGAGAGTGTGGTTAAACGAATCCCTGATAAGCTGAGAGTGTTTAAACTACTAATCCCCGTAAATAAGCTGAGATTTGACTAATCCCTTTGTATAATCTGAGTGAACTAAAGAAGCTATGATAGTGACCATGCCAGCAGGAAAGGTCACCTTGTCGCCTACCAGCTAGCCGGTGCCGCTAATCAAACCAGGGGAAAGAAGTTGCCGTCAAATACTTGTAGCGCAACAGAGCTCGTTTATTTCTAACATTAGTAGTTTTTTTTTTTAGTTTTCTTTTTTATAGATGCTCTCTTTGTATTCCCCTTACCTGCATGTTGGGTCCACCACCCCCGCTCCTTTTCTGGAATTTGCCTACCTTCCCTACACGCAGGCGCGTGCTAGCTCGCCGTCCTCTCAAGGTGAACACGCCAGCCTGCCGTGCGCGTCATACCCAGCTGAGAGCGAGCAGTGCCTGGTGCTGGGGAGTTCACTCCTTGTGTACTTTAACAATCTACTCATTACCACTAACTGTTAAATAGAAAAACATGTCTTGTTTACACATGCTATTAATGAAGAGATGTATTCTGACAATTTGGTTGGTCTGTCTTTAGCTAGAGATGTATTCTGACAATTTGGTTGGTCTGTCTATAGCTAGAGATGTATTCTGACAATTTGGTTGGTCTGTCTATAGCTAGAGATGTATTCTGACAATTTGGTTGGTCTGTCTATAGCTAGAGATGTATTCTGACAATTTGGTTGGTCTGTCTATAGCTAGAGATGTATTCTGACAAATTGGTTGGTCTGTCTATAGCTAGAGATGTATTCTGACAATTTGGTTGGTCTGTCTTTAGCTAGAGATGTATTCTGACAATTTGGTTGGTCTGTCTATAGCTAGAGATGTATTCTGACAATTTGGTTGGTCTGTCTTTAGCTAGAGATGTATTCTGACAATTTGGTTGGTCTGTCTATAGCTAGAGATGTATTCTGACAATTTGGTTGGTCTGTCTTTAGCTAGAGATGTATTCTGACAATTTGGTTGGTCTGTCTATAGCTAGAGATGTATTCTGACAATTTGGTTGGTCTGTCTATAGCTAGAGATGTATTCTGACAATTTGGTTGGTCTGTCTTTAGCTAGAGATGTATTCTGACAATTTGGTTGGTCTGTCTATAGCTAGAGATGTATTCTGACAATTTGGTTGGTCTGTCTATAGCTAGAGATGTATTCTGACAATTTGGTTGGTCTGTCTTTAGCTAGAGATGTATTCATACATGGTTATAGTACGTGTATTGTTGCTGGTTGGTTACGTGTATTGT